AATCTGTAGTTAATTTTTTTATCAGATGCATTTTGTTCGTTTGTGTTTATTTGTTTGTGTATTAATAGTTTTTGAAGGCCTCATGGAAAATTAATATGTTATTGTTAAATGAGTTATCGTCTTTAAATAAAGAATTTTCTTTTAAATACCATGCACTCCAGCTGAGGTCGGTGACCGTTTTGAACGTATTTGGAGACCGAGGCTGGTGAAAGTACCAAGTATACGGTCACATATTATTCATGACTATAATCGTTTGGTAATTAATTGATTTAGCTTAGCTTAGCTTGATACAACAGCAGAGGTCGAACTCTGAAACAATTTTGGCAAGTATCAACACTACATCCAAGCTTGATACAGCTCTGAATTTGGATTGTGATTAAATATTTGACACAGCATAGGTTTCTGACACAAAATGAATGTGGTCAAAGAACTGAAAAAAATGAAATTGGACTATTACTTATTATGGTCCAATATCCAAAATCTAATGGACCCACTTGAAAACACGGCCCAATATCAAAATTCTAAATTAACGGTACGATGTAGCATATCAAAGAACCCCAATATTTCAAGATTAAGTAAATTCTATTGAAACTGGTCAGAAATAAGCAATTCAAACAAAAAGATTAAAAAGTTGCTTGTTTTGATCCCTTTTTTTTGGTCCCTAACTCATAAGCGGATACTGCCATATCCCCCAAATTCAATGTGACACAAAATGAATGTGGTCAAAGAACTGAAAATTTTTAAATTGGACTTTTACTTATTATAGTCCATACACTTATACTCAAGTTATTGTCCGGAAACCAGAAAAATTTTTTGCTTATGGCACCTTTTTTGTCCAAAATTCTATAACGGTTAGGGCCATAACCATCAAAACCTACCCCAACCTCCATTTTGTGTCATGGAACCTTATGGTACAATTTCACAGAGATCCATACACTTATACTCAAATTATTGTCCGGGAACCCAATGTCTTCGGACGACGACGACGACGACGACATGGCCATACCATTATACGGCCGCAAATTTTTGCGGTCGTATAAAAATTGAAATCGTATACCAGTAATCTGTCAAATGTGTCCTTTATGACGAAGAAAAAAAATCGTTACTTTTTTATTCATACCCGGCTGGTATTTTGGTTCTTGTACTTGTACACCGTTTTCTTTTCAAATCTTGATTTGCAAGTCGAAACACATATAAAATGTCAGCTTTTCTTTGTTGGGTTGTTTGGAATCTCTAAATGGTCTAAAGTATACAATGATAAGAGTTATTGGCTTTGAAACAGTGAATCTGCGAGCCCGAGAGAAGACACAAGAAATGTTCAAGTGAAAAACAGGACGGCAAAAAGTCTAAGCATTCAAGTTCAGGATGAAGGAGCACAAACCAAAAATAAATACATGTATATACCGTTGTTCGCATAGAGGGTAAAATGATTAGACTGTATAGACTAATATTACTAGATTTCTTTTGATTATTTGTGTTGTTGAGTTGCTGTCTCATTGACGTGTACTGCACATCTCATTTAACTCATATTTCTAATCACGTGAGCTTAAGCTGAAAAGCATGACAGTTCACTGTAGACTCGTAAAATTTGTAAAGACTATAGATACTAGTAGGTGTAAGTTAAGACTGAGATAACCGAATGTACTTCCTCTGATATATGATACTAATTTTATTATAACATATAATGATAAATTTTAATACAAAAGATAAAATCAATTACAAAAGTTAACAGTTACAGATTACCATCGGTTAAGACCGAGTGTGTTTCTTAGTCCACATACAGGCATCAATAATTCTTGAAAGATTTCACGATCATTTTGTTCAAGTAATTTCCAAAAGTATGATTCTGAGGACAATACTTGACAGTGTGAGCGTTATCTCCATTAGAACCACACACCGGACAAGTGTACTTCCTAAGAACTGGACATAATACTTTTCCATTAGGGTCTTTCAGGACATGACTGTTATAAACTGGAGACGATTCCTTATTGTTCTTACAAAACACACAGAAAGTCTTTATTTTCTTCCTATTTTTCCTGGGTATGGTAGGTTGAATAATATGTTGTACTGGATTACGTATTATTCGATCCTGCATTTGGTAACGGTCAAATTCATCTAAATCACATTCTTTGCCATTTAATCTAAATTCTTCAAGCGCACCAGAACTAACTTCATCGATATCTTTCACATGGAAACAGTCAGGAACTGGATTCGTGACTCTTTTATTTGAATACGTTTCACTTTTGCTCCAGACTAAAGTGTAATCCTTAGTAAAACTGCAGAATTGTTCGTTAGAGCCATTCCAATGATTTCTGAGATTTAAAGTTTCCATAACGGCAAGGCTTTGCAGTATGCCAAGAAAGATGCGTTGTGACTGCATATGAATTTACGGTATTCCCAACTTTCTATTTTGGGGTAATTTGACCATAACCTACAGTTGCAAAATACTCTTGTCCCACTTTACACGGAATGATAATTTATTGTTTTTTTCTCCAAAGTTTTTGATTGAGGTGAGCTTGGGGGATCCATATATATATTAAATTACGTTAAGTGTATTCAAAGAAGTTCGATTATCCATAGAATACTTATAATACCCATTATGTTTACGTGAAAAAGTAAACATTTGCTGCGACAAAGTTGTCTGATTTCTGTCACAAAAAGTGCAGTCCTCCTTGAAATTCCCTCTTTGCTGGTGATATTTGACCAAACTGTTTATCAAATGACACATTTACAGGTTGTTTATTGCATTAATTTTATTTCGTTGTAGAAATGAACGTTGACAGAGATGCTGAGGTTCGTTAAGTTTTTATCTGGAGATAAATTAAACAGAACATTTTCCCTGATTTACGGATGTTACCACTGTTTATATTCTGTGTTGTACGTTGGAATGCAAGGTTAACCATAAAAATGTCCAAATTGTCAAGATGATACGATTGCAAAACAAATATATTGTTCCGTAATTTTAGATTTTCTTGACTAACAATATTGCAATGGAGATACGTTTTTGTAAACGTTGTTTTTTATGTTTATTTTGATTAATTTATCTGAAACACTCGAAGCAAAAGGTTGGGACAGCCGATGGTAACTTTCATAACGAAAATGTTCTAAAAGAATAGCCTAATTCGTCATCCTTCTATTTCTCTGTCAGTCTAAATATAATAATCTTAAAAGCTAATTTGGAAGGAGGCAATGTTGTAACGAATTAAAAACTTGATTTTTGGGGGTCAGTGTTACATGCTTGTATTGTTTATTTTTGTTATTTACTAACAATCCTATTGTTTAAATTTGTACACTGATACTTGAAAAGTCTTCTTTTTCTAAAGTTTACTTAAACATGATTTCCTTTCGTGTATTGACAGTAAAAGAACCATAGCGTATACTAATAGGACGGGTAAAATTTAATAACAAATACCAGGCTTATAAGTAGGTACGCCACAATGTCTTTCGTTTACATAAGACTGGAGTCAAACTGTTGGAAGGCCAAACCAATTACGAATATGAAGAGCATTCAAAAATCAAAATTTCCAGAAGATGGCGCCAAAATCCGACTACGGTCTTTATATCTTGGGGTAATAAATCCTTAATGTTTCGAATAACATTAAATTTAAAGAAAATGGCCGTTTCGATGTTTATATCGAGAATGCATTTTTGGGACTCTGTGTCATGTTTACGACTTAAGATGTCCAAATCCGGGCATTCGTGGTAGATTACCCCCGCCTCCGACAAATCCATCCCTTTAGCTCTAACGAATGTTATTGTAGCGTAAAGCACAAGAACAAGGTAAAAAGAAAAAAAAACACATACATTATGAACTGATCAATCAATTAAATAAAAATAACACTTTAATTACAATGAATATACTCTTTCTTTTTGTTGAACTCTCGGGGAGGGGCTTTTGTCTGGCATCCAGTATCACTGCATGAAAGGCATTTCATACAATGTTCAGGGCGAGAACTTGCAAATTAAAAATAAATACAATAGTTATGTCGTGTAATAGAGGCCGTACGGGATGAAGGTCGGGGAAAATTGGATTGCCACTGGAAAATAAGGGTATATTAGATAGGGACAGAATTTTGCCTTCAAAAAGGCACCTACGTGCCCCTCAAGGAGTTGTTTCAGACCCATGTGACCATATTTCTATTCCGTAGTCACCCAGTGAGGGTTGTTGAAAAGATACAAGCTTTGCATATCAAATTAAGAACCGATGAAACCACCCGATTATTTTGTTTAAAGAATTTAGGTTGAAGATGAATGAAAGAATGTCAATTGTGTTTGGTTATATAAATGTCAATTTTGGACTACCACGGGAAAATGAGGGTATATTGGATAGGGACAGACATTCTGTCTTGCCAACAGGACACCTACGGACCCCCAAAGGAGTTGTTGCAGAACTACATGACCATATTTCTATTCCCCAGACACCCTGAAGGTTGTTAAAAAAATCGATGCAAGCTTTACATATCAAATTAAGAACCGATGAAACCACCAATTTAGGTTGGGAGTGTATGAAAACAGAGATATATAATACAATTGTATTAGGCTCTGATCAAAGCAAAGCAGGTCACATATGTTTGGTGATATAATGTCACGGCAATCTTCATAGTTTTTTTATCAACATTTTAAAGAGGGGCGTAAAGGTAAAAAAAAAAGGGGGGGGGTATCTGCACGGAAGAACGCGAAATAAAATTGCCATTCCACGATGAACGAGCAATTAAAAATGTCTTGCACGTTGATGTTTTTATCGATTTCACGAAACACGGCTAATAACGAACCTTCTTCACGGCTGCACGTGAAATAAAAATGGCAAAACACGTTGCACGAAAATAACCCTTTACCACCCTCTTTAAAGAGCTTTCCAGCTTTTTGTTACATGCGATATCCTTGTCATTTTGTTTAAAGTGGGACTAATAGAATTTCCTGTAATAGTCCCAGGTTTTAGTCTATCTTGGTCATAGAAATACAGAAAAAATGTATTTGTTTCAGAAAAACATCCTGACGTGGTTTGGTGTATTAGTATAGAAGCTTCCGGGTATAATATATCACATGCATGGAGCGTCATTGGATACAAACAAGGAAGTAGTTTATAATATACGACTGACAATTTAACTGTAAGTTGATTTGGACGGGTGTTTAAATAAGCTAAAACATTCAGACTGGGCGTTGTGGCTAGATACTTTGCGACTGAAAAGTTATCCAAATATCCCAAATATATAATTAGCCATAACCTTTCCGTGTTCAGTGTGTTGCAACTAATTTTTTATTGTATTGTTTCAGGGACAGTCTATAAAGTTAGTAAAGACTGTCCCTGATTGTTTAGACACTTGTCTTTTTGAAAACTGATTGTTTGATGTTGTGTGTGTCGTTAACTTTCTGCTTCATTGATAAGCTAGCAGGGGCTGATCCAGGATTTTAGGTTAGGGAGGCACAAACTTAAATTTTAAACTTAAAATTTGAGGTTAAATTATCGAAATATTCTTCTTTTAAGCTGAGGACAACCCATGCTTTGCAAATTTTAGGGGGGGGCACGCCTCAGCCTGAATCCGCCCCTGGCTAGTTCTTGACTTGTCAACTACACTTTGTTCTTAGACTTATTCTTATTAGCATAGCACTAAATACAAGCAGATTCCAGTTTATTTCATTATACACCACATCTCCTTTTATCAAGTTTTGCATATATATATCTTCAGTTTATTTAAAGCTACTGCCAAAAGAAATGTAAACTTGTAACTGCCAGCAGAAAAAAATTGGTAGGTAGATTAAATTTTTTTTGGGGGGGGCCCGGGGGGGGAAATATTTTACATAGACTATTATTTATGGAAATGTTTTTGAATTTAACTGTTTCGTTAATAAATATTGAGGGTTAAGAATAAGACTAAGGATAAGAATTTTGTTAGCTTAAAATCCAAACATTAGGATTGTTACTAAAGAAAACCATACAAATAACAAACGATAGACAGAAAACAATACAAACATGAAGCATTGAGAAAAGAAAAATGTTAATATTTATTACAATACTATTTTGGTAGATATGTAGTCTAGAAACAGAACTATGTATGTGCTTTGCCTAAAATATCTATTTCTGACTACATTTAATAGCTGAATTGAGCTATAAAAAATTATCTCCCTTTGCAATTTTTTGAATTAATTTTCAAATCTCATGCATTTTGAAAAAGGGGGGGGGGGGAGGTTCCAACCCCCGTAAACCCCATGAAACGTTCACATAATAAAAAAAAAAAAAAAAAAAAAAAAGATACAAAAATTAAAAAAAAGGGGGGTTCCAACCCCCAGAACTCCCCTTGTTCTGCCAATGCATCTCACTTTTTATTTGGAAATGCAATCTAAAACTTTTGAAGACAAAATAAATATTATTTCAGCAATACTTCAATCCTTAAATTTCATTGCTTAATCCTTTTATCCAAATTAATGTACATATATTTTAGATAAAATTGAGTTCACTAGCATTGATAGGGGAAGTAACTCTGGAAAAAGAAATCATTCAACTGGCACAAAAATCAGAAATTTAGTACTTTAGTTGCAAAATGTTATTACAGAAAATAAGAATTGTTCATAGGAAAAAAATACTTTTATGTCATTTATTTTGCTCACCTATCCCATAGGTCAAGTGAGAGCTTTTGCAATGACTTTGCATTGGTTGGTTGTCATTGTTCATCTATCGTCCATTAACTTTTGCAAAAATCTTCACCTAAGGAATTACTAGACCTAATTGAACCAAACTTTGCCACAACCATCTTTGAGGTACCTAGTTTGAAAATATGTCTGATGTTCTGCCAGGCAACCAACATGGCTGCAAAGGATAAAAAATAGAACAGAGGGGTAAAAATGCAAGTATTGTCTATTAATTTAAAAACTGTTATATAGACAGAGAAAATTTAACATGGTCAAAAATATTTTTGTCAATTTCTACATACAGTCTAATTTGACCAAAATTGTCATACAAGTCGGTATAGGAGTTATCTTGAAAATTGTAATAGATAGAGAGAAACTTTGAAAATGCAAATATGATCAGCAAATAATTCCACATGGTTGAAATTGTCAGTCGATTTCTTACAGGCGTTATTGCCCTCAAATGAAGATTTTTAGAATTTTTGTGTGTTTATGCCTATTATCTTTAAAACTATAAAAGATAGAGAGAAACTTTACAAGTGAAAATGTTAAGCAGGGCTAGAACTACAAATTTGTCATGAAGGCTTAAATTGTCAGTCAACTCCTTGTAGGAGTTATTGCCGTTAAATGATATATTTTTTTAACCCCTTTTGTAAATTTTTGGTGAAACTATAGTAGATAGAGAGAAACTGTAAACAGAAAAAAATTATCAGCAATACAAGATCAACAAAAAAAAAGATTTAGTCATGGATTGTATTCTAGTCTACAATATTTGAAAGTGGCCATTGTAGTAGATGCACATAGATCAAGGTGAGGCTCTAAAGAATCTTTGGTGTACTTTCCTTTTATTTGATTGGCTGATTTTATTGGTCATTTGTAGTCAAGTAAACATGTAACTTGGGGTATAAAACTGTGGCTAATTTGGTTTGAAAACAGCTGATTGAGGTTTCCATTGAAAGGGAGTACCACTTACCAGCTAAATATTGTAGCTTGTAGTTGATCTTATATGACAAGGTAGTACTAATATATGACAAGGTAGTACTAATATATGACAAGGTAGTACTAATATATGACAAGGTAGTTGATCTTATATGACAAGGTACCAGTACTAATAGGAACAAAAAGAAATGTTGAGTAATATGTCAATGAAACAAAAACCAGTCAATACTGTAAATTCAGAAATTATTGCGAAGTTTTTATTATTGCGACAAATGCGACAGAGTTGTAAACGCAATAATTTAAACTCGCATTTTGAAATATTTTATATGAACTAAACAGGATTTTTCTCAAACTCGTAAAAATTAAAATCGCATTTAAGTCTAAAATGACAAAATCGCAATAATAAATGCACGCAATAATTTCTGAATTTACAGTACTTGTTAACTAAAATGTGCATATAATGGATACTAATAGATAACCTCAAACAATAGCTTCAAGTTAGTTATTATACATTGTATCATTTGCATGACAAGAAAAATAAGATTTCCAAGTGTAGATAAAATAAATTCATTAGAGACAACCAAATATCATACACCAATGGGAAATAGCAAATGCATGCATCTAAATAGAGGTCAGTCAATTTAAAACGTATCTACTTATATCAGATACGTTGACGTTAGCGTATCTGGAGATATATATTTATAAATTTTGACTTGGATGGAGAGTTGTCTCATTGGCACTCATACCACATCTTCTTATATCTATATACAACAAAACACAATATTTGGTCCAGAGTTTAAGTCTATGTTGCAAATCAAAACTCTTTAGTCTCTTTATTTCATGAAAACATATAGCTAAAACAATTATAGTTTTACTTGATTGGCAAAGGTGGTGTTTTGCGAAAAGGGGGCGGGGGGTTTCTATCATTAGGCTAACATAGGCATGTGAAAAAACAATAGATATGGGGCAATGGCACGAAGACAGTAAAAATTACCAAATGCAACACAGAAAAAAAGACATCCTATGCATGCCTGGCCATTGCGTTTCAATAGCAAAGTTCTACAAATCGTTCTATTTTACTTTCTCACACTTTTATTCATTAACTTAAAGTACTTTTGGTTTTGACATAATGGACTTGATATTGGGGGCCAAATAAATCACTTACCATGCCTTCCTTTTGTGATCTCTCCCTTTTTTTTTTATTTTATGCTTTATTTATGGTTTTTACCATTTCCGGTCAGGAGCTGAGTTTGCTTCATTTTTTTATCTTGCATTACTTTATATTTAGAAATGTACCATTTGGAAATCTTAAGTTTATTACTTGAACCTCTACATTCTTTGTGGCTCAAAATAAGGTGCACACGATTCGGTTATGTTCCAGGCACGAGATTATCAAACTTGGACATTTATATTTGTTACACACTGTCATGCACACATAGTGCCACGTACCTCGTTAGCGCAGCTCCTACACATATTCAAAGATATTTCACTCAAGGATAGTACCACATATATTTTTAGTACATCCTTAGATACATATACGTCAATGCACCAGATACGATTTGATACATTTTAAATTGACCGACCTCTACTATAAATTTACAAATAGTTAAGAGTTGTCATAAACAATGATAGCCGAGATTAAATTCTGTTTCTTGTATATATGATTCAGGGTTAGTTTGATCCCCTAATTTCAATATAGGTGTCATACATCATAAACACCAGTATGTGGGTGTATTAGGGACCCATTTAGGGGACAGTGACCAAAGTTGTCATTTGTCACTATAAATATTTATGTCAAAAGACCTTTTAAACCATTCCTAGATGGGACAGACTTTTAAACATTTGAATAACATATGGAGAATTTTGTGTTATTATAAGTCGACCTCCACTTGTTTGGAAGGTGCGCTCGACTCTGATCTTAAATGACTAGGATTGCCAGTTTTCCTGCAGAAGGTCAATATAGTTCTCTCTTGGTGCCACCTAGCATCTACGAATACAAATTGACCACCACAATATAACCAATCTACTGATTATGGTGTTCAACACTATCAATCAATTGTAATGGATGTGATTTGATAGTCTCCCTTTAATTGTTTCAAATTAGTATTTGCTTAATTAAATGTTTTTTTTGTGTTTAATTGGATCTAGACAGGCTAAACACAAAGTAGCTTTATTAATTTAACTATAAAAGTTTTCAAATTTAATATCACTTTATATATTTGACAGATATTCATTTGTTCAATATTTCTTCAACACCATATCTATTATTTATATCTTACCACCTTTCTGTATATATAGCTCGCAGGAACCATTGTTTGAGGGGCCTGATGGGGGGGTCTCATCACAATTCACGAGTTGATTTTTTTGTCAATCATGATTCACAGAAAATAAATTTCCATGATCACGGATCACAAAAATATAAAAAAAAAATAAAAATGTAGAAAAACAGATCACGATAGCAAAAATGCGCCGATCACGAAGAACGAAAATAACCCATCAGGCCCCTCATTGTTTCCACTGAGTTTATTTTCAGCAACTACATTGGCATTATTTTGATACAATATTAAATGTATACCAGTAAAATTGCATTTTCTTTTAAACTAAGTTTTTGAACAACTATTTTATTTGAATTCATTTGACTTGAAATACTTTTCTTTTCCATTTAGTTTGCAAGCTTTTACTATTTCATTACATTTCATTTTTTAACTTAACTTTTGAAATACTGTTCTTATTTATTTATTATGTTTTACTTGATTTTTGTTCATTTGTAAATAAAATGTTTAGTTCTATTGAATTATGTCTCTGTTCAGCCAAAATCTGATATCAGGTATCCCGAGGATCGAATAGGGACGAAGTACTAGCCACTACACGTCCCGGGAGGTTTCGTCACTGACCCCCTCCTGTTACACAATCAAAAGAATGAGGTTGTATAACATTACTGGGCACAGTATGACCTTCAACAATGAGCAAAACCCATACTGTATAGAAATCTCTAAAAAGGCCCTAGAATGACGGAATGTTAAACAATTCAAAAGAGAACACCAAAGGTCTGATTTATGCTAAAAACAAATAAAAAACGAATAATTAATTACAGGTTTCTGATTTAGGACAGGCATGCAAAGAATCTGGCAGGTTGCAATTGAACATGTTTCTGAGCAATCAACCCTCCCCTATTGTGGGACAGTGGTGTATTAGCACAATATAAGAATATGAAAACTAAAAAAATCAGTTGAAAAAGGCTTGACTCATTAGATTGGCATTAAGCACACAAAAAAACTAACAAAAAGACAAAAAACACAAGAGTAATCACAATTCCTGAAAGCAAGTTTGTAATAGTTCATAAGTTAAACTTGAACTTAACAATGACCCATGAAAAGATCCCATGGGTATATGGTGCTCTTTGAATAACTCATTTGCCTCCCATTAAAGCTAAATATTGGGTGCTCCTTGAATAACCCATATGTTCTATATATAGTGTATCTAGATTAATTTGTTTTTACTGTGGATCAAAAAATATTCGTGGAATACCAATTTCCATTGATTTAGTATGTATATGTAAACTACAAATTTAAATGTTCAACGTGTTACAAATTTTATATAGATATATATAGATTTTTATTATGCATACTTGGTAAAACCTCAAAATCAAATATCCATGAAAGTATGTTTTCCTCAATCCATGAAAATTGGTATCCACGAAAAACAAATGAATCCACAGTATGCTAAATGTAAAGACTCAATATAAGATCCTATGGTGCTTATACCTTCTTCTCAAACAGATTTTCTTTGCACTTTTTTTCCTTGATCATGCCTTAATTTCCTATTACAGATCATATGGACAATTTCCCATATGGGTGCTGCATGTAGCTCAGAGCCAGAGTATAAACATATTCCACATTCAGCTGTCATAGAAACACTCCATCCGTCAGATTTACAACAAAATCCTGCAATAGTACTGCAAAAGCCTCATGTAGATAAGAAAGTAAAATTTGACCAAGATACAGAGAAAAAGGAAAAGTTAGATACTGCACCAAAAATGGATAGAATAACTCCTGGTAAAGCTCCTCCTAAAAGGACAATTTCTGTCCTGAAACAGATGGGAGATGATGAACGATTGAAGAGAAATCCTGAAATAAAGGAATTCTTGACAGATTTCATCAATGTTCGTGTGTACATAGAAAAAATCCTCAATAAAGATGAGTGTGTGGATGATGAGTATGAAGAATTACATAAAATGTTAACAGAAAAGATCATTGAACCTTTCAATAAACAGACGAAGGATGAGGGCAGATTATTAATGGGGGATCATCTAGCTAAAATTGGGTAAGTTACTGATATAAAATACATCCAATATTGTTAGAAATACCACATTTATACAGCTAATCTTTGTATGTATAAGAGTGTATAAATCATCCTTTTTATGTACACAGGTTTTTATGTACACAGGTTTCAGGTTTTTATGTACACAGGTTTTTATGTACACAGGTTGTAAGCTTCTGTTACCTCTTTATCTTATACTTGTTAATGTACAGTTAGACTTTATTGTGTAATTTTGAAATTGTTTCTAGCCTTTGGACATGGCAGAGATGCTTTGAGAATCAAGAAGAAAGTGATGCGTTTATAATAGAAAAAAATAGATTGGATCATCCACTTTCCGTTGGGTAGAAATGTCAGTAAAATGTTAAATTTCAGGAAACTATAAAGTAAAGTTATGTTCTAGCAACACAATTTTAAATAGATCATCTTTCATTAAGATACCAATTCAGCAAAGTATTAATGGGGCATTCTGAACTGTTCAATTTTTGTTCAGTTGGACTCGATTAGATTTACCCTTTATTGTACTATACAAAATATAACAAGTATATATAACTTGTTGTGTAAATATCTCAGATAAGATAATAGTTATAATTAACTAATCAGGGTTCAAAGATTGATCAAGATTGTAAAAAGTTGGTATTATGTATCTCAGAGCACACATATTTTATAGTGAAAGTTTAAAAATTGTTTGAATTGATGTCATTTCATTGTTCTATTTTGCCATGGAGACTGAAATGATAAATTATAAAGCAGTAAAAATTCTTCTTCTATGCTGTTGGACTAGTCATGGCGAAAAATTGATTTGATAAGTTCTAGCTGGACTCACTTAAAAAATTCCTTAGTGAGAACCCTGAAATAATGTCTGAAAAAGGTGGTCACACAATATCTCCTTTCATTCCATAATAAGAGTTCCTAACTTTCAAAAGTAAAACAGGTACATTGTATGCCATTTAGAAAAGCTGCTGTGTTTGGTAATAATACAAAATCTTTACTCTCAGTATAAACCAAAACTCATTATCTTGAATTGCCTCAACAAGTTTGTCCCCACTTTTTACCCCAGTAATTCATAAATATTTTCCCTGTGGTGGATACCTCATTTGTTTAAAATAAGTGTTATTCTTTTTTATTTTTAGTTTTGTGAAGCCATTAGTAGAATTATATGATAAAATTTTAGAGGAGCATGATATACATGAAGGTATTTCTCCAAGTCTTGATGATGATGATGGTGAACAACAATATTATATAGCTATTGTAGATATAAGATCAATACTATGGAACTTCTCTGATACCAGTAAAGACTTTGGAATGTCTATTGCTCAAAATACAGATTTTTTTCAATCTATAGTCAAGGACTTGAAAATTACTTTTAAAGAAGGACTGGAAAATTTGGTAAGTTTAAGAATATGTTTATAAACTTTTTTAACACAACCACCATGATGAGTGCCTGCTTGTAGCTTCTGTTGTAAAATATTGCAACATACTAAATATGCATAGATATTTAAAATACTTAGGATTCATTTATTTTCATGGATACCAATTTTTGTCGACATATTGGTTGTCGCCATAAACAAAATGATAATTAAAAGTGTAATTTTCTGTGATGTACAATTTTTTGGGTATTTAAGAAATAATTCATGGGGGCTTGAATTTATCGTGATTTTACCACGGGTTGGCCCTTTATGCTAAAATTTTACAACGTGACAGTGAGGGGTAAAATATCAGCATAAAGGATCAACCCGCGGTAAAATCAATATAAGCCCCCATGAATTATTTCTATTCTAATAGGACAAAGACAGCAATTCTTTTGGATCGAAGCGCTCTATGTGAAGGGAAATGTGTGCTGTTCCTGTAATTGAACACAATATTAATATTGACGTAAACGACGAAGAAAATTGAATAAGTGACATTCTTAAACGATACACAATAACATACTTAGACAGATTTGGATGAATTTATTTGACTATCTTACTTTCATTTAAGAAGATATGGACATTATACAAATTCTTACCATCGTTTATGTATGTTTTCATGTTTTGACGACTTTCAGATCTCGTAAAAACCTTGCATTCTTACGTCATCGTTCAATGACGTCATTTACACCATCTGACGCGAGGTAAATCATTCATAAAAAGCATACGAAGTGGGAGTAGGATTGGAACAGCTGACATATGAATATATTTGAATTTTACCACAGGTGTGTACTCCAAGCGTTTGAAGGACGTCATATTAGAATTTCTATTATCTTTTTTTTTATGTTTGTATTGTAAAAGCAATTCAGTGGTTATCCATGGTACTTTCTATTTCAGTCAGCAGAAGAATTCTCCTTTAATTCAGCTGTAGCCATAACAACAAACTGTGGACGAGCTGGAGTACAAAAGTCAAATTTCAAAGTAGAGGTCATCAAAAAGGACAACTCCGAACCAGTTTATATCCACATGGTGGACGTTCTTACTCCATTCCTCAAGTCCAAAGAACAATGTATATATATTAATAACAACGAAACTTAAAAGTCAGATTCATTAGAACTAAAGTCTGGCAAACTGTACAAGTTGTGAAATGTACACACTATGTCGCAAGAGGCACATCACCCTCTAAAAAAGAAAGTTTGTAGTTGAAAAGTATAAACTTAAAATCATCTCATTTTGTACCAATATAGTTAAGTCTAAAAGTGGACAATAATGGCTGCTATATTATTAGATTTATTCAGCTGGAGTGCAGTATTTATATATTTAGTTTGTTAGGATATAAGTTTTCAATCCAGTATCATTTAGGATTAAAGATATACCCAGAACTTCAATTTTCAATATTCAAAAACTGAATTATTTTGTACCTCATGAAGAAACTTGTGCTCAGAAGATATTTTATAAATCATTTCATGTGTTAATATATATTTTAAAATTTACATACATTTTTTTCATTATTTATTGATATGATATATATATGATTATTCATTTATTTCTAGTTGTGAAATTAACCACCTTGTTGGCATTGTCCTACATGGTAAATGAAGATCAGAATAGGTTTTTAACTGCGGATCTGTCGTTGTTTGATTTCCTACTGGAGATGATCAAACTAGCCATGAAAGACAAGGACAGACGTTACTCTGGTTTCAGTGTTCATGAACTAGTTGAAGGACTCGCTGGTCTAGCTAAAAATGATGAGAATAAATTAAAGATAATGGAAAAGAAAGATACTTATCCTCTTCTGAAGAAATCCATTATGCAAAATAAAGCCGAACAAGAACAGTTAGCTGCAGTCAGGGCGGTATGGGAGTTATCTTTTGTTGAAAAGAACAAAAAGATTTTGGCTGTAAGTATTTGAATCAGACTTACTTGTGAATATATGTTTTAGTAGGAACAGTTTAATGATGTCAATTTGTCAAAGTCATCTTTTTTTTTTTTTAAAGATTCTGAAGTGTTGTTTTAAAACTACATTCTTTGATTGTTTAGAATAAGACCTGACATTTGTAAAAATGCAGTGATGGATCCAGGGATGTGTTCCGGGTTGGGACCCCCTTTTTTGTTTGACAACTAATGCTTTTGTATGGGGATATATGGTTGTAACCCACCCCCCTTTTTATTTGACTAGCATGTGTTGGAACCCCCTCTTTTAAAAATGGCTGGATCTGCACCTGAAACTGTTGACATTCATTTAGACTTTTAATTAATTTGACATGTAAGGGAAAAATCACTTTTTATGAGGTATAATTTTAATTCCAAATTTTTGTATATACAAATAAATTTACAAGAAATTTTATTTTTGACTGGTTTCAGCAAGAATATTCACTTGATTAGTATCCTTTAAGTAGTTCATGCAGGCATATAAAGTTGACTTAGTATGCTAAGTAGTACATTATATAAATTTTATTTCCCTGCTGTTACAATTGAAACTCTCGGAAATTAACATGCTCAATGATCTTTTTCATTCTCAAAGATAATGTAATATAGCAATATATTTGTGATTGCAGTTTTCAATGTTTATGATTTTTATTTTTTTAATTCAGAAAGATAAAGATCTGATGTCAAAATTAGAGAGTTTGCAAAAACATGATAATCAAGATATAGCTAATTCAGCAGGAAGAGCATTGTTTGTCATCAATCCTGATAGTGAGTTATCTTTCTATGTTTGTTATCAATCCTGACAGTGAGTAATCTTTCTATGTTTGTTATCAATCCTGACAGTGAGTTATCTTTCTATGTTTGTTATCAATCCTGACAGTGAGTTATCTTTTTTTGTTTGTTATCAATCCTGACAGTGAGTTATCTTTCTTTGTTTGTTATCAATTCTGACAGTGAGTTAACTTTCTATGTTTGTTATCAATCCTGACAGTGAGTTATTTTTCTATGTTTGTTATCAATCCTGACAGTGAGTTATCTTTTTATGTTTGTTATCAATCCTGACAGTGAGATATCTTTCTATGTTTGTTATCAATCCTGACAGTGAGTTATCTTTCTTTGTTTGTTATCAATTCTGACAGTGAGTTAACTTTCTATGTTTGTTATCAATCCTGACAGTGAGTTATCTTTCTGACGTGTAGTCAGTTCTTAATATTGTAAATCTCTTAAAATACCTTTGTCATTAGTGACTTAAACACAATGAAACATGCATATACCCGGTATACAATAACAAAACATTATTTCTATATTATAAAAATAAGGAGGTATGGTATGATTGATAATGAGAGATATATTCACCAAAGGATAGATGTAAGCAACTATAGGTCACCATACAGCTTTCATCAATGACCAAAACCATTACTGTATAGTCAGCTGTGAAGTCAGCCACAACATAACAAAATGTTAAACAATTTTAACAAGAAAACCAGTGACCTGATTTATGACAGAACAATAAACGAAAGTAAATATGACAACAGCAAATGACAACCACGGATTTACTTGGGACGGTCACATAAAAAATGAATTATCTCCCCTTCTTTGTCTTAAATTATGTTTTTTTTAAACTGTGTTATAGATCTTGTTGATGGATAAATATCTGGCTTAAAAAGATCTTGAAAATTACTTTCAATTTTTATTTTTAGAATTTATACAAATAATAAATATTGACTGGACACAAGTCTTGTTTACTAAATATATACCGCTGCTGTTGAGTTCGTCTGTTGAAATAATGTTTTTACTTCATTAATTAGATGAGAAAAATCTGATGAAATCAGTTGATGATTCTAAATCTAAGCTGGAACACCCTGAACAAGAACATATTATGATAAGTTACCAGTGGAGTAACCAGAAAACTATACTTCAGGTCAGTTATCTCCCCTTATCCTGAACAAGAATACATATTATGGTAAGTTATTAGTGGAGTAACCAGAAAACTATACTTTAGGTCAGTTATCTCCCTTTACCCTGAACAAGAATATATTATAAGTTACATCTGGAGTAACCAGAAAACTATACTTCAGGTCAGTTATCTCCCTTTATCCTGATATAGAACGTGTTATGATAAGTTACCAGTGGAGTAACCAGAAAACTATACTTTAGGTCAGTTATTTTCAATTATCCTGAACAAGAACATGTTATGATAAGTTACCAATGGAGTACCCAGAAAACTAACTTCAGGTCAGTTATCTCCCTTTATCCTGATATAGAACATGTTATGATAAGTTACCAGTGGAGTAACCAGAAATCTAAACTTCAGGTCAAGTGAGCTATTCTCATCATTTGTAGTCTGTAGTCCATAGTTGTCATTGTTCGTCATTGTTTGTTTACTTTTACCAAAATCTTCTACTCTGACCTACTGGGACAATTGGAACCATCTTGGCCACAATCATCATCAGGGTATTAAGTTTAAACAATGTGTCTGATGATCCAACCTGCAAATCTACATGGCAGACATTGCTAAAAATAAACATGACGGGTAAAAACAAAGTTTTGTTTATTATCTTAAAAACTGCTATAGATAAAGAATCATTTGACAGAAGCAGAACTGTTCAGAATATTGAGGTCTGCCAGACTCTGCCTACTATTCATTTACATCAAAACTACCAGACAACTTCTTATCTGAGTTATTGCCCTTAAATGACAATTTTTTCCCTTTTTTTTAGTTTTTACCTATTATCTTCACAAGTATAATAGATAGATAGAAACTTTAATTAGCATAAATGACCAGCAAGACTAGATCTACAAATAAGTAAACATGGCTCTAATCTTCATTCGACTATTCACATGAGTTATTGCCCTAAAATGGCAATTTTTACCAAAGTTTAGTCAAATATCTTGATAGAGAGAAACTTCAAATAGCAAATAATTATCAGCAAGATTTACAAATAAGTGAATTTTGCCATAAACATTGGTCAACTCCTTACTGGAGTTATCGCCCTTAAAGGACAATTTTTACCAATTTGTTGCATTATTGTCTTGAAAACTATTATAGATAAATAAAAATCTAAATAGTAAAAATGATTAGCAAGATCTACAAATAGGTCAACATGGCAAAAATTGTTAGTCAACTCCTTATAGCAGTTATTGCCTATAAATGACCTTTTTTACCAATTTTTTGTGTTTTTGTCTATTTTCTTTAAAACTATAATAGATAGATAGACCCTTTAAAAAGCAAAATTGATCAGCAGGCTAGATTATCAAATATGTCAATATGGCCGACATTGTCAGTCAACTACTTATAGCAGTAATTGCCATTAGATGATGATTTTTATCTCCTTTTGAGCTTTTGGCAAATACTCTAAAAGATAGAGAGAAACTGTAAACAGCTAAAATAATCAGCAAGACACAATCAACACATAGATCAACAACTCCAAATTGTCAGTCCACTTCTTGTAGGACATAATATTATTGCCCTTGAATAATGATTTTTTTTTTAAACCCTATAGCAGATAGAGAGAAACTGTAAATAAACAAACAAATATAACCAAAACAAAAGATAAATGGAAGAAGTTTTCCCAAGTCCAAAATTTTACATAAAACTAAAAATGATAGAAAGCTTATATAAGGTTTGAAATTGCTCATATGAGCATTATTATAGTTTTTTTTAACTCATATGAACTATCAAACTGCACATAAAAGCAATTTAATTTGTTTACAATTATTACTGGCATCTTATGGGAATCATATGTGCAACTTATAAGACTTTGTTATCATTTTCTGTATGGATTATGGGGTTGCTCTCGATCTGGATCAATGAAAAGATAGATATATGTCAGTATGGAATAGTGATATTAATGTGTATATATTTTCATACATTTTGAATTTCTTGTCTCACACAGTTATGGAGACTTTCTTGATTGAAACTCATTTGTAATAAGTAAGGATAAATAACTTAATACATAACATTGCTTTACAGATAAAGGACAAGTTAAGACAAAACAATTTCCCTGTATGGATAGATGTAGATTTCATGGAAGGTTCTATGCTTCAGATGATGGCTTCAGCTATAGAAAAGGCATCAGTGGTGTTAATTTGTTACTCAGAAAAATACAAGGACAGTAAAAACTGCAGAACAGGTTTGCAAGAAAAATTTCTGTCATTTAATAAAAAATACTTTTGTTGTCAAGTAATTTTGAATATGACTTTCTCAGAAAATCTAACACATGACTAAGTGGATGACAATTTTTTTAATGTCACCCTCTTGTATTAACCGATGAAAACTGGCAAAACAAAGCTCAATAATATAAAAGTCTGTGACTTTTGGTATGCATTTGATGGTTTGAAAAAAAAACGAAATTGTGTGAAAAATTTTTTAGATCCTTTGTTATAGATTGTTACCTCTAGAAAAAAAGCCTTGTCAACCTTTGCTTTGCCTAAATTATTTAAATATTTAATTGTAATCTAAGAGTCATTACTCAGGATTATTAAGGATGTATTCTTCTGATGTTTCAGTCTCGTTAAAATCTCGTTCTGGAATTATTTCCAAAATATGTAATACAAGTGGAAAATATCAATGATTATAAAAACATTATAATCAAACTAAACTCTGTGAAAAAATGTGTACTTACAATAAGTAGTTTTTGAGTAATAAAATTGTCAAATTTTATAACCAATCTGGTAAGTGTCATCAGACAAAATGTTGAGAAAATAGGTGAGGGTACAAAGAAATGATTTTACCAAAGATATGTACATCCCATTCCCATATCAGTTTTTTCTTTTCGAAATTCTAAGATATGTATTTTTTCAATCATTTATAATAAATAAGTTGAAATAATATGCTTTTTGTTCTAAAAAAAAACGAAAAATCCCAAATTTACAAATTGACAGCATGGTCAATTTGACACGAAAAAAAGCAACAAAATTTTATGAAACTTTCTAATATTAACACCAACCTTTAGTTTTTTTTAGTCAAACTTATTCAGATTTGGCCCACTTCTTTTTTAGTGAAAGTATGAAAATAAGTTTAATTATGAAGTTGTCATTTTTTCATGATAATAGCCCAAAAATGTGTAAAAATTGATGAAAAATGAGAAATTCATAAAAAATGGGTTTTTTCAAATGGCCGTAGCAAAAAAAGAAGTGCACCACCATATGATTTTTTATGCCCCCGCCATAGCGGAGGGGGCATTAAGTTTTACCCTTGTCCGTCTGTACGTCAGTACGCACGTCCCATAATTGATTTCCGTTCTCTAACTTTAGTTTGCCGCAACCAAATAATATGAAACTTATACACAATGCTAATAACCACAAAACACAGATCAAATTTGAATTTTGGTGGTGTCACTTTTACCGTTCTAGAGTTATGCCCCTTTCCAAATGGAAAAATTGCTAAATCTTTAGTTTCCGTTCTCTAACTTTAGTTTGCCTTATGAATGTTATACACAATGCTTATTACCTTAAAACACAGACCAAGTTTGAAATTTGGTGGCGTCACTTTTACCGTTCTAGAGTTATGCCCCTTTACAAATGGAAATATTGCTGAATTTTTCATTTCCTTTCTCTAACTTCAGTTTGCCTCAACCAAATGTTATGAAACCTATACACAATGCTTATTACCACAAAATACAAATCAAGTTTGAATTTTGGTGGTGTCACTTTTACCGTTTTAGAGTTATGTCTCTCTACAAATGGAAATATTGCTGAATTTTTCATTTCCGTTCTCTAACCTTAGTTTGCCTCAATCAAATGTTATGAAACTTATGCACAATGCTAATTACCACAAAACACAGATCAAGTTCGAATATTGGTGGCGTCACTTTTACAGACCTTCCTGTTATGTCCCTTTACAACATAATATGCAAGCTGGGCATCTTCGTGTCCCATGGACACATTCACCATTTATTCTTCATCAATTACTTTCTTACAGTCATATAAACCCAAAAATCAGGTTAAGAAAAAAAAGTTTAATATTAAAAATTTTTGTCTCCTCAGAGGTGTACATCCTTAAGAAAATCATTTATTTGAGAGAGCAGTAGATTATATTTATTTTTCTTATCAGTTTATTCATAACTATTGCAAAAATAAGATATTTATGTTAAACTAAAACTTGAATACCATTCTAATCAAATGTACAATTTTTAATAATATAAAGAGGTAAAACTAAGGGGCATATATGGAATTATGACAAAAAAAATAAAACTTGCTGATTTAACATGTTAAGTCTTATGCTGATTTAACATGTAAGTAGCATGCCGATTTAATATGTTAAGTAGCATTTCATTTGATATGAAAAGAAGTATGCTGATTTAACATGTAAAGTAGCATGTCTATTTAATATGTAAAGTAGCATGCTGATTTAACATGTAAAGGAGCATACCTATTTCATATGTTAAGTAGCATGCCCATTTAACATGTAAAGTAGCATGCTGATTTAACTTTGTAAAGTATCATGCCTGTTTAACATGTAAAGTAGCATGCCTACTTACTATGTAAAGTAGCATGCCAATTTAACATGTAAAGGAGCATGCTCATTTAACATGTAAAGTGGCATTCAGATTTCACATGTAAAGTAGCATGCCTATTGAATATGTTAAGAAGCATGCCTTTTTAATATGTACATGCCGATTTTACATGTTAAGTAGCTTGTCTATTTAATATGTAAAGTAGCATGCTGATTTAACTTGTAAAGTAGCATGCCTATTTAACATGTAAGTAGTATGTTGATTTAACTTTGTAAAGTAGCATGTCGATTTAATATGTAAAGTAGCAAGCCTATTTAATATGTAAAGTAGCATGCCTATTTATATAGATAAGAAGGTGTGATATGAGTGCCAATGAGACAACTCTCCAAGTCTCGATGTATAAAAGTTAACAATTATAGGTCAAAGTACCGCCTTCAACAGAGAGCCTTACCTCACACCAAACAGCAAGCTATAAAGGCCCCAAAATGACTAGTGTTAAACAATTCAAACAGGAAAACCAATGGTCTAATTTATATACAAAACAAGAAACGAGAAACACCTATGAACCACACCAACAAACGACAACCACTGAACAACAGGCTCCTTTAATATGTAAAGTAGCATGCCAATTTCATATGTAAAGTAGCATACCCATTTAATATGTAAAGTAGTTTTCCAATCTATTATGTAAAGTAGCATGCCGATTTAACATGTAAAATAGTATGCTAATTTAATATGTAAAGAAGCTTGCCAATTTAACATGTAAAGCAGATTGTATATTTAACATGTAAAAAAAGTGCTGATTTATCATGTAAAGAACTTTTTGTTTTGTAGAGGCAGAGTATGCTTTTGCTCGAGACAAAATGATAATTCCTGTTTTATTACAAAACAGATACAGACCTGACGGCTGGCTTGGTATCCTTATTGGATCTAAGAAATTCTATGATTTTAGTGGCAAATATGATTTTGAAAAAAAGTTTCTGGAATTGAGAGGTGAACTAGAAGGACAGTTGTTACAAAAGGTATAATTTTCATCATGTAATATCCCACTTCACGGTTATTGTAGCCATATTGAATAAGGGGCAGATTTTTTGAATGGAGGTGGAAATAGTAAGAAAATACTTTACATGTTATAAAATGGAGAGTCTGTCTGCGTACCCATATCTATTAAGAGAATACTATGCTCCAATCTTGCGTACACAAACAAATCTTATGTAGATTTTAAAAATACATAGATCTGTTACAGAAGGCTAAATTTCCCCACTATACTAATCACTCCTCTTTTCCGATAGTAATTAAAATTTATAAGCCCCTTATTCACTTGTTCTCATGTTAAATATGCATAATAGTGCAGCTATAAAAGGATAAATTCTGTGTCCTTACCAAATTTTCCATATTTTCTCCAGCTGCAGTAATAACCACCTATAGTGATAAGTTTATTAGTCCCTTATTATATTGCATTTAAAACAACTACCATGGTTTCAGTCATTGAAATTTGTACTGGTTTTAATGGAAAATAACCTTTCTATGTAGCGTCTTGAACGATTGGATGAATGTTGGGTTATTTTTGTCCAAGCCTATTTACAAAGTAAACTACAACCTTACAGCAATTGGTTACAGTCATGACTGGAAATGCAATAACTATTGATCATGACTGTTTCGATATTAAATGGGTTATACTCTCAATGATTTACTTAAAAATCTGAAAAGTTGCTTCTAATAAACAAATTTACTTCTACATAGACATGTGACATGAAAAACATTTAAAATAAAGTTTATGTAACCCACTTCACTTAAGCATTACCAACCACCAACACACTTTGGCATAGTTATCAACAAGATAGCATCACAATGCCACCATTGTACTCCAGCATCACAATGCCACCATTGTACTCCAGCATCAAACCATTGCACTTCAGTGTGACCATCATGGTTCGGAGTATTATTGTGGTTCAGAGAACCATCACTGTTCAAAGTCCTACATATATATGTCTAAACTTTTGTGCAAGGATACTGATATGCTGGGGTTGGTTGTTTTCTTTAGACTGATATATATTTATATAGTTATGTAGTCATGAGTTTACTGATGTACATGATAATATTCTTTTATAAAGCAAATAAACTGTTAAATAAAATGTTTTCAAGAATTTAATTAATTACAGAAAAGACAGCCTGCAATAATGAAGGATTTAGTGAATCAAGTAGTGAACGACTATGAGGATGTGACAAGAGAAATAGGTGTATTAAGCTGGACAAAACAGGACTTAGAAAACTGGTTAAAACAAAATCAATTAGAAGCGTAAGTTTCTTTGTAAGGGAATGATCATTTGATTCTAAGGTAGAGGGGCCTGGCAAATTTGGTGAGGTCAGAATATTCATTTCCAACTTTAAGGCAGCCAGATTATTTATTTTCACCCAGACGAGGTGTACTTCCCTTTGAATCAGCCAATGAAAATACTTCTGAAAAATGAAAGTACCGGTAACTCTTTATAATTTTCATGGATCTGAAGTAGCTGAGGGCAATAGTTGAATCCGAGGTAACAATAAACTTACCATTCCAATGACAATTATCTGATTGTAAATATGCATTCCAATAACAAGCAGGCAATTGTAAGTTTAAAGCTTTATTATTTTCAAAACAACAGAATAAATTCAACAACAGAACAAAAATTTCAGTGAATTCATTTGATCTGTCATTACTTTAGCAGTTTGGACGACTGATTTTTGTGTTTTTGGCATCCTTGTCCTTAATTAATCCTTCCAGATCTCCATCGGAAAGCAACGCAAAACGCCCTGACTGCATGAACTATGATCCTGTCATCTGATGCGACTTGGTGTGTGTTCTAACGACTCAGAAATAGGCTTTTATAATTGAGATGAATTCCGATAGTCCCAAATGAATTGTTAAAAACCCGTAGCTGCAGTGGAAATTCTGCGAAATGTAATGACGCTTGCGGTCAAATAGTTTCATCAAGGGCAAATAGTTGGAAACTATTGACCGGTCAAATACTTCAACACTTGCAATTTGAAAAATAGTGAAAATATTGGGTACTTACTTCATATAAAAAAATGATAACTGAGGTATAATAACTGTAGCTATTATATACCATTGTAAATGTGCAATATTATAACATAAATGGCTACTAATTATTATCATATGTTTTATTTCTTAGGTTTTCTAGCCTTCACTCACTGACAGGTGAACAAATTGGATTCTTGTATAAATTATTTAGAAGGGTAAGATATATGAAATGTCTTAATAAATGATTTTGAAGGGTAAGCTATATAAAATGTACGGTATGAATTATTTGGAGGGGTAAGCTATATAAAATGTACGGTATGAATTATTTGGAAGGTTAAGCTATATAAAATGTACGGTATGAATTATTTGGAGGGGTAAGCTATATAAAATGTATGGTATAAATTATTTTGAAGGGTAAGCTATATAAAGTGTATGGTATAAATTATTAAGAAGTGTAAGCTATATAAAATGTACGGTATAAATTATTTTAGAAGGGTAAGCTATATAAAATGTATGGTATAAATTATTTAAAGGGGTAAGCTATATAAAATGTACAGTATACTCCTAACAACAACCATAATAGCCCTATTTCTCGTATCAAACATAAGCTAAAAGAACTTGCCAAGGAATTTGTTTTTGTCCCGGCTGATAAGTCTGCTAACAATATCATTATTGTTTGACGTAAATTTTACATTGAGGTTCTGAAAAAGGAAATCACGAATTCACCAACATACAAAACTCCTTACAAATATAGATTTATTTCGTCTTCAAGCCATTGTTCCACTACTAAACTATCTATTCTACTTACTAGTACACTTGGTACAATCAAAAACCTGGTAATAAATTGTTCAAATAAGGCCTTTGAAAATAGTGGAATTAATTACTTTTGGAGTGTCAAAAATTCGTTGGAAGTACTTGATAAATTGCATGCTTATAGTGGTGATTTCCAATCTGTTCAAAGTTTTGATTTTTCTACCCAGTATACAACTTTGCCTCATAATCTTATTAAGAATAAATTCACACACCTGATTAAATGGGCATTTAAAAAGTTAGAATGCGAATATATATGTTCAAACTCTTTTAGGTCATTTTTTAGTAACAACAAATAAAAGAACTTTGTCAATTGGACCTGCTTTGATACTATAACTGCCCCTGAATTTTTACTAGATAAAATTTTTGTTCGCTATGGAGATTCCTTATATCGTCAAGTTATTGGAATTCCCATGGGGACTAACTGTGCACCACTTATTGCGGACCTGTTTCTGTATTATTATGAGTTACAATTTATGACTAAAATCAACAAAGACCCATCGAAACAACATCTAATTCAAAAATTTTATAACACTTTTAGATATTTAGATGATATATTGGCTCTCAATAATGACGACTTCAGTATGTACACTAAAGAGATTTATCCTGCCAAGATGACCTTAAATAAAGCTAATACTAACAATGAACACTGCCCTTTCCTGGATCTTGATATCTATATCTTTAACGGGAAGCTTAATACCAAAATTTATGACAAAAGAGATGATTTTTCATTTCCTATTGTTAATTATCCATTTTTAGATGGTGACGTTCCCTTGTCACCATCTTATGATGTTTATATATCGCAACTTGTTCGATTCGCTTGTGTATGTAACAACGTATTTGATTTTTACGAAAGAAATTTCTGTATTACTATAAAAAAAAATTACACCAGGGTTTTCGATATCACAAATTAGTCAAAACATTTACTAAATTTTATCATCGGTACAAGGACATCATTCGGAAATATAAATTAACATGCAGACATCTCATAAGTTCAGGTATTTCTCATCCAATTTTTTATAGTAATATTCTTTACAAATCACAAAAATGTCGGCATTCACCTCAAAAGCTAACCATTCTTTAAACAGACTTATTCAGAAGGGATATAGTTACAATACTGTTGTCATATTTTGGTATTAATATTGATTCACTCATAGGGTCTTTGCATCAGAAATAAACACATTTATTCTAAAACCAATTGTTGGCATGATACGGGTTATGTTCTTCTCATATGTTTTATGATGGCATGATACTAAACCCCTAACGGGAGGGATTGTACTTGATTTTCATAGGATGAAGACATAATCTTTCAATCAGTTTTAATTGAGGTCTGAAGCTGGTATATCAGTAACTGCTAGTAGTCCTTTGTTAATTTATGTATCGTTGTCATTTTGCTTAGTTACCTATTCTGACATCGGACTCAGACTTCTTTTAAACTGAGTTTTACTGTGCATATCGCTGTGTTTTCTTTATTCTACATTGGCTAGAGGTATAGGGGGAGGGTTGAGATCTCACAAAACATGTTTAACTCCGCCGCATTTTTGCGCCTGTCCCAAGTCAGGAGCCTCTGGCCTTTGTTAGTCTTGTATGTTTTTTAATTTTAGTTCATTTATATGTTTTGGAGTTTAGTATGACGTCCATTTTCACTGAACTAGTACACATTTTTATTTAGGGGCCAGCTGAGGACCACTTCCGGGTGCGGGATTTTCTCCCTGCGTTGAAGAAACAATGGTGGCCTTCGGCTGTTATCTGCTCTTTGGCCGGGTTGTTGTCTCTTTGACATATTCCCCATTTCCATTCTCAATTTTAGTATAAATTATTTAGAGTGGTTAGCTATATAAAATGTACGGTATAAATTATCAAGAGTGGTAAGCTATATAAAATTATGGTATAAATTATTTAGAGGGGTAAGCTATATAAAATGTACAGTATAAATTATTTAGAGGGGTAAGCTATATAAAATGTACAGACTCTTTAAATAAAGTATTTATTATTATTATTATATTATTATAAACTAGGTATTCTACTATTGAACTAACTATTAACCCTTTAGCCCCAATCCCGCCTGTAGGCGTGATGGCGACAACCATTCTTTGATAGCCCGTATGACCCTCCATACCTTTTTTGAACTGCCCCAGCTGAACTGTCATGATAGCAGGGACTTCAACCAAGCAGTTCATGGTCCATAAACTCTTCTCAGATATCTGTTCATGAAAATATGGCACTTTGAAAGCGGTTTAAGAATTCAAAATCTGAAAAACGTGAAAAGTAGCCAAAATCAGGTGGAGGTGGTCATCTTTTGATGGCCACTACGTAACTGGTAGTGACTGTAGGTATAAACTATTATCATAAATGCATGCAGAGGTGGTACAGGAACACAACGAGGTATAATATGGCCAATAGGAATCTAGTCTGTAAAATCTAGGTCACCGTTTTGTAAAAACGGACATTTAGGCAGACCTGACTTGACAATAATAATTCCCCAGCAAGACACTCAAGTCCAATATACTCCCAGTTAGCATGAATGGACTGCTGTAACTATAGGGTAATACTTGAATGACAAAGAAAAACAGTCTGGTCAATGTTCACCTCTCAAGGTCGTTTTAAAATCGGAAAATAGACAGAAAATTAACATTTTTCAGTGGGGGTGGGTTCAAACCCACAAGAAAATATTCCACCTCCAATCCCACCCCCACCCATGCCATCCGCCGGAAAATTAACATTTTTCAGTAGGGGTGGGTTCAAACCCATGAGAAAATATTCCACCTCCCACCTCACCCCCCACCCATGCCATCTGCCCCCCAAATCTCAATACATAGTTTAATAGATGAGCACCAGTTACAGCATCAAGAGTCTGCTAATTTGCATATAATTTGCATATGATTGCAAATTTTTGAAAATGCCTGATTTTCCAGAAATCTCTTGAGGGCGAATGAGTTAAAAGATGGGTACATTAAGCCATGTAGTTAAGTTAGTACTAATTTTGTAGATTTTTAAACTGCTGTATAAAACTTTCTTCACATGGCAATATTAACTCACATAAAATCTCCTATTAGGTGGAATTGTTGTACATGGACTTCACTACCCTTGAACGAATCAGGTCTATTTTCAATTCTTTTGGCAGTTCCCTGGACACAATGCTACCAACTGCCTCATTGATATGACATTTAATGAATTTATTGTAATAAAAGAAGTCTTCCCTCGTAAAGTTTTTGATCCTGCTAACTTTTTGCCAATTAGGAGGTTTTTTTTTCAAACCTGAAATTCTGTTGTCCCAATCTTTTATAAAATTTATTTTTGATAGAAAAATAAGGTCAGCAGACAAGTAAACAAAACAACAACAAAAAAAATAGAAAAAAAAAGAAAAATCTATGACCTGTAATTAGTAAAGTTTTGCCAACAGGTCAGTCAAAAGTATACTTTCTAAATATGAATTTAACTGTTAAGTATTACATTTCTATCATTGTTGTCACTTTGTAGACACAATAATGTTTGTTTCACTTATTGAACACAAGTTTCCTTGGCACAAGAGAATTGTTACCTAGTCATTTTCATTAGTTTTGATATACAACATTTATTTTTCAACATATTTTAGTACATGTTATTATTCCTTCTTACTCTCTATAATGTCTCTATCTGAATCACATCCCAAGGGTGACTGTGGAATAAAAATATGGTACCTGTTGCAAGGCAAAATTTCTGTGCCTATCCAATATATCCTCATTTTCCAATGACAATCCAAATTTACCTTACCTTCATCCTGGACTGCCTCTAGTACAGGACCTACCTATTATATTTATTGTTAATTTATTCTTGTCCTCAACATGTATGAAATATTTGCCACTGGACATGAAACAAACATCAATCAATCATTTATCTCAAGCATGTCAACAGATTTGATGTAGCCTTTTTAATTCCTGTTAAATATTTAAATAAAACCTGAAAATGTTAATGTTTAATTTTGTATGCATAAAAAATGTTTGATATATGTATTTCAATGAATAAACAAATCAACAAAACTGGAAAATATAGTTGAAAGAAAGAGCAGACAAGCCAACAATCATAAGTAAAAACATCAAACCCCTTTTGTTAAAGTTTTATTACCTCATCACATAAAAACAGATTAATAAAGTAGATATTCATTCTCTGTTACAATTTTTCATGTATTTTCAATGAACTCTTTTTTTTATTTAAAGGCTCCAGATTTTTTCTACAAATGTTTGGAAGAAAAACTTGGATTGAAGTCTTTAGAAGATCTGATGAAATTTGACAAAGCTTTAGAAAAACTTAGCAGAGACCATCCAGAAATTAACAAGCTTCTTTAAGGATAAATCTGTTCATCATGGTACCATGTGCCAAGTGAATAATCAACAACTGCTGTTTCATTCTAAAACGTTTGAGCACTCACTATAGAAGGACAGAGTTAGGCATTTTTAGCCAGGTTTTATTTCAGTTATTGACTAATGCATGACAATGTAGAACTCAACAACCACAATTGCCATTTAAGTAGAGTATATCAGTGATGTAATTGTCTTTCACTATCAGTGTTATCTATCAGTATTGACTTCATTCAATTTTGTCTAGCCTTGACAGAGTCAAAAAGCGAGACATAGGTATGCTGTTTCCTGTGGCGGCAGCATCAACAATGTATAAGGTTGAGATTAGGTCTAGTTTATGGTGATCCACTAGTGGTAGTTCAATGATATTTGGTATGCAGTTGTATAAGCATTGGCATATCTTATTTCCATGGAGATTATTTGGCTCTGCCCCCTCAGTCATGGTCTATTGACTTTGAAACTTTTTCTTAGTTTACATGTATTAGTTTGTGATTAGGTCAGTTCAAGGGGAACCATTAGTGGTAGGCCAATGTTAATTGGTATGCAGTTGTATAAGCATTAGCACATCCCATTTCCATGGAGAATATTTGGCCTCGCCCCCCAGTCATGGTCTACTGATTTTGAAACTTTTGCTTAGTTAGCATGTATTAGTTTGTGATTAAATCAGTTTAAGATGAACTGCTAATGTTAAGTTAATGATATTTGGTATGCAAATTTATTGACATTTGCAAGTCTTGTTTTCATGGAGATTATATAGCCCCACCCCTCATCATGGTTTATTGACTTTGAAACTTTTACATAGTTTATAAGTTAATGTTTGTGTTTAGGTTTGTTTAAAGGGAACGACTTATGATTGGTCAATGGTATTTGGTATGCAGTTGTATTAGCATTGGCAAATTTCATTTCCATGGAGATTGTTTAGCCATGTACCTTCAGTCATGGTTCATTGACTTTGAATATTTGCATAACTTACATGTTAAAGTATTGCTATTTTAATTTCAACATTTGCATTATCAAGATTACAATAAGGCTAGACATATCTCTGTGTTCACAGTTTATTTATTTGTTTATTACCCAAGTCTATATTTTACATGACACAGGCTGTTAACCAGCCTCAATCAATCAAAATCTATTAATGTGTATTAATGATTCACCTAAATGCGCTGAATTATAGTAATTTTCTGTACATGTATATACATGTATACAGTATGTCTTGACATATATAACAACCGAATATCTGCTATCATTTTTTGCCCAGAAAAATCAACATAAAATAAGTTCAAAAGAAAATAAAATATTGTTCATTTCAGTATTTTTTCCCTTTTCTGTCTAATCTTTAAATAGGACTCAAATGATGTTAATATCAAAATGGTGAAGAATACAAATACTGGTATGTAAGGAATCTTTCCTGAAATATCAAAATAAATACCATTACACCTCTATGATTTTGTCAGTCATAGCCCTTCCTACAACATTTATTTAGATTTTTTTAAAACAGAAAAATTGCCTTGATGAAGATAAAAGTAGTTCCTTTCCCAGGAAGTAATAATGCTTTACTGGAAGATAGAGGTGATATTATATATATTTTAGCTATATAATATAATTTGTTCAAATAACATTGGAAATGTAGATATACAAGTATTACATAATTCATATTGTAAGACCTAATATTACAAGTGCAAAAAAACAGTAAAATATGTCTTAATTTACTGCTACAAACAACTACATACCATAGAAGGGGAATAACTCAGATTAATTTGTAGTTGTAAAGTACAAAATCCAGACTTTTGGACAAGGCTACAAATGAAGTTTTTGTAAATAACTACGCATAATGTTCTTTAAGTGTAAAGTTACAATTTTACCAGTCAAACTACACAATGAAATACACAATGAATTGTATGGAAGATCAAATTTTATTCTGCTATTTTAATGCAAATAGTGTTTATACTAGATTCTGGAATTTTCTGCAGATTTGACATAGAGAAAATATTGATATATACCAGACTGAATGAACATTCTTCTCATATCAAAGTTTTAATTTAATCTCTATACAATTCCATTTGTTTTCAATAATGATTTACATGTATATAATATTATTGTTTAACAAAATGTTGTTAATGATTTCATGCTTTAAGGGCATACGATACAGTTACAGGGGAGGTAATGACGTCCCTAAAGTAAAATGTTATTTTTCGCTATGTCATACTGTAACATATCAGGAAAAGATGAAATTTCTGACTGATTTTTATTATTCAGACTGATTTTTATTATTCAGAAAATTATTCAGACTGATTTTTATTATTCAGACTGATTTAACTTGAAAACTAGTTAATGGACATCTCTTTTTAAAAATGAAATTTGATTTAATTATGTGTGAAGATTACTTGTGCCAATTTTTATGAACATTTCACCGATGAAGTTTTTTTTTAAGTAGATCAATATACATAAAAAAATGCCATTTTTTAATAAAATAGTGAAAATATGATAAAAATTTATTACTTCCAAAGAATTGTTACAAAAGTCCAAAGCCAACTTATGTAGAAAAGATATTCCAAATGTTTTTACAAAAATCCGCTTGCATTTATCTTTTGAAACAAAAAAGTTAGATATGTCTTTCCAAAGGATAGAAATGTCCAGGAAACCAAAATTTCCAGTAAATGTCCAAAGTTTCAACCCCATTTATCTCTAAAAGTAGCACATGAAGATATATTTTTTATTACATATTTGAATTGACTAGGTGAAAAATAGCTTGTATGCAAACTCATCAAAACTTCACCGTGGGATCAAAACTGTATGTATGCCCTTAACAGTAGTACCAGCAAAACAATAATGTTGTATCTGGTTTCCAACGGTTTTGGCTCATTGTTATAGACGTTGCATCTCAATGCAAATTATTTTTATTTTTTATTTTTTGTCCAGTATTTTTTTCCCGGCCAGTAATATTAATTGACCATCACCATCCATAACCTTTGCAAACTTTGAAGAAGCCTAATTTTTGTTCTTGCCAAAAATAGAATATTTTCTTTAAATATCCTTAAGAACATTGGAAATATGACCAGAATCAAAGACCTACATTATATTATTTGTAAGTAAAAGCTGCCAAATACATGTACACTTAATACATGCTTTGAGAAAGTATAAAATTGAATTGTATGAGTTTTAGTTACATGAAGACCCTCCTATCCAGAACAATTAAATATTATAGAAGAGCTTTATTTTTTAGAGTAAATATATTTATTCATGTACATTATAATATTTTTTTGTAAATTGGTGAAACATATGTTAAAGGTAAAACAGCTTGATCCAGGATAAATAAGTATTTGTATTTATTGAACAGCTAGTTTTAATTTTGACATTGATGTTTTGTTGTATGTCATAATGATTTGATTTTGACTGTGATAGTATATATATGAACAGTTTTTTAAACATTTATTTACATAATATAGAATTGTTCACTTTTCATGCTTTAGACCATTTTATTGGTTGTTTATGTGAATTTCTCAAGTAAAGAATGGGAGATAACTCTAGTTATTTTATTTGACTTTTATTTATTGATTGTAAATTAGGCCTTTTTCCTGATTGTCCTCTTTGTTTTCTGTTGGAGAGAGCACTATACCCGATTTTGAAACATAATTCCTGTGATCTTTTAAAAGTATTTTTTATTAAAACTTCTGTACTCACAAGAACAAATTATTTTTTTCTGTATCTTAATTTGCATGGATTGTTTATAAATTATCTAATTTGATAGCATAGATATTTGTGCAAAAAGTTAAAACATTTTTAATTCTGTGAACAAATTAATTTTGTAACCAAATGATGTTAACTCAAACATCAATGATCCAACTATACAAATGAATACCATTGTATAAAATATCTAAGGTTTTTGCATTTTTTAATCATACATGTACTGCCAAACTTAAATGAAGTTTGTCTCCAACATGTTTATTTTCAAACTAAATAATTAATATGTAGGAGTGGATAGTAATGTTCATTGCCTTGGACAGTGTAGTAGAACTTAATTCTCTTCAAAGAAAAGTGCATATCATATGAAGTTATTGTGGATAGAGGAAATTAGGAAAATAGGAAATGAGCAATTATGAGGTGGATATACATGAAACAATGTAAAACTTGAGATCTTCAGCAAATTTTGTTGTTTATTACCTGACAAAATGCTTGATAATAGAAACTACAAACCTAAAGGCAATCATAGTGTATTAAATCAAGTGTTGCATGTTGTTATAGAGAAATATTTCAGTATTAACTACAGCATAAGAATGAAAATCAAAAGTCTATTTTTCCATGTTTTGCATATTAAACATTTTGTTGGGATTATTAGTATAATGAGTGTTTTCTCTTTCAGATATTTAGGTAGTGTTAGATACATAGATTTGATAACATTTTTTGAACTCTTGTGACTGTTAAATTTTGCTTTAACTTTGTTAATGATTTGTTTTATGTTTTACAGATATACATGCATGTTTCTATTTTTTAGACAAATATATATTTTTATAAAATAAAAAAAAATCAACTGTGCTCCTCTTCTTGCCGACTTGTTCCTTTATTCATATAAGGCTGACATCATACAGAAGCTTCTTAGGCAGAATGAAATGAAGCTAGCTTTATCCTTTAACTTCACTTTCCACTATATAGATGATGTTCTCTCACTGAATAATTTAAAGTTTGGTGACTATGATGAATGCATCTATTCCATAGAACTTGAAATAAAGAATAGAACAGATACAGTATAGTGTGCCTCATATATTGACAATGAGGGTCAGTTGAGAACTAAACTTTATGACAATAGAGATATTTCAGCTTCCCAATTGTGAACTTTCCATTTCTATATAGCAACATTAACCAAAAACTATAAATAGTTACAGAATTTGAAGATATGACATTAGTCCTATTATAGGTACTTTCTACTGAAATATACTGGTTATGAATTTTTGCTATATAGAAATGGAAAGTTCACAATTGGGAAGCTGAAATATCTCTATTGTCATAAAGTTTAGTCAATTTCTAGATGTGAGTCATGATGGGGTTCGTGTCTTTAGTATTCTATGTTGTGTTGTGTTTTGTTTTTTTAGTTTATTTTCGACTTTGAGTTTGAATATCCCTTTGATATCTTTATGCCTCTCCTATAGTAAATATAAAGTTAAATAGGTTTTAAAAAAGGTTTTAAAAAAAAATTGTGTGTTAAACACAATTTTATCATGGATTATTTTGTACCCCTGCCATTTAGTAGTACCCATGTCCTACCTTCTGGAATCAAATAATTCTCCTCATCATGCAGATATTAATCTGATTTTTAGCCAAGTGAGCCATCCTATCCAGGAAAGTTTACCAACATTTGTCATATGAAAAGAAAATTTCTGAAATTGTACTTGTCTGAACTTTTTTTAGACTGTCTGCAGATTAGATGATATTTGGTACACAGGTGTATAGTGATGGCCTATAGACCAAGTTCTTGTTTTGTTCTGTTTGACAGAGTTTTGGCTTAATTACTGCCTTTTGACTTTTCAAGGATGTTATGAACACACCATTTTGGTAATGCTAGCCGATCATGGGTTGATTTCTGGTATACAAGTATTAATGTATAATAATGACCAACAGATCCAGTTGCATTCGTTCTAGTTGACCAAATTTTACCAGAATTGCATCCCTTGGATTTAAATTTTTTTTTTATTATACTCCTCTGGATTTATTCTATTCTAAAGCCTGCCGATTTGGATCTGATTTTTTGGTACATTTGCATTTTCTACCATTCACTGACTTTTCCTAATACATGAAACACCAAACTGCATGAAATAAATTGATTGAGCCTTCGACATTAAGTTAACAGGTAGGTAAATGAAAGATCTCACGTATTTTCTGAAAGTTTGTAAGCATCTGGAGAATGCAGAATTGTGTGTAAATAAAAAAAAAAGCCAAAATGTGCCTGTTTTACTTGGCCAGATAATGCAATTTGAATATCCACTGCTAGAAGAACATACACCATATTTAATTGAACTACTGCTCATAGTATCTGATAAACTGACAAAACCATAAAAACTTAACATTGTATACACCAAATATAGTTGACCTATTGCGTGTAGTATCGGAGATATGGACTTGACCATGTAAACTAAACCTTGATCAATGATCAATAAAATGATGTTGAGGTAAGGTGAACCCTGTCTGACAGATATGCAGACCTTACAAGAAACCATATACCAAATAAAGTTATCCTATTAGTCTATTACACATAAGTGAGTATTTCACAAGACAAAAAAACTATAAGTTGTTTTCAAGAAGTCACTGAACCATGAAAATGAGGTTAAGGACAATGGACATAAGACACAGAAATTTCGTCACATAAGGTATCTGCATACTTGGTATGAAGCATTCAGGTCTTCTAGCTTCTGAAATATAAAGCTTTATACAAATAGTATACGCTGTCCCTGCCGCCAGATTGTAATCCCTATGTCTCGCATTCTGCGACTTTCGTCCAAGGCGAGACAAAAAGGATATTCATTTGCAATTCCTCATGCTTATGTTGTAAGTTTAAAGATACACTTTTACTACATGTGTCATATAAAGTTGATATTATCAATGAACCGTAGAAATGGGGGCAAATTAAGATGAACTTTGCTTGACAGACATGTACATGTTCAATCATTCCATACACCAAATCTAGTTGACCTATTATATCTGAGAAAAAGACCTAACCACAAAAACTAAACATTGACCAATGAACCATGAATATGAGGTCATAATCAGAAGAGCCTTGACAGACAGACATTTACAACTAACAATCATTAAATACACCAAAAATAGTTGACCTTTTGCTTATGGTTTATGGACCTAACCCAGAAACTTAACATTGACTAATGAATCATGAATATGAGATCAAGGTCGGATGAACCCTACCAAACTGACATGTACGGCTTAGTCAATCAAGAAGTCAAGTAAAATTGACACATTGATTATAGTATCTGAAATTTGGACCTAACCACCAAAACTTAACATTGACCAATGCACAAATTATATCAAAGTCAGAAGAACCATGCCACACTGACATTTACACCTTACATTTATTTCAAATTCATACATATAGTTGACCTATTGCTCATAGTATCTTAGATATGGATTTGACCCAAGAAAACATAACCATAAATAGTTAAACCTGCCAGACATGTAGACCTAAGACCTTCCAAGGGTCTTGTATACCAAATATAGTTAATATCATATATATAATTAGCTAGAAATTCTGGTGATAAAAAAAGCTAGAGTTTTTTAAGTATTTGCTTAACCATGAAAATGAGGTCAAGGGCAGTGGACATATGACAGACAGAAACTTCAGAACACAAGGTATCTGTGTTCAAGGTATGAATTTTCCAGATCTTCTATCATCTAAAATATAAAGCTTTATACAAATAGTTAACTTGTAAAAAGTCTATGCATTAACCTTATATGTTGCATAAAAGGGGGTCTGTACCACCAGCCCCCCCCCCCTCTCCATAATCTGCATTTCAGTGGCTTGCTAATTGCTGAATTTTCAATTTACTATTGTGATTGAGATTTTGTGAGTTAGTGCTTGTTACAGAACAAGTGTATTGACAAAGATATATGTAACCTCTAGACAAAGATATATGTAACCTCTAGATATCAATTTTTAGACACCACATATTGCCTGGATTTTGTTTTTTTCACAATTGATCCCGATTTCATTTCATTCATATTTGTAATCCTTTGGTCTTTATAATTATCGACAAGTTTTTAATAATCTTACTTTAGGATAGATTTTTACCCATGTTTATCTCCAGAACCTTCTTGAACTTAAAATAAAGCCTTAAAATTCAACTTACAGTAGAGAGAGATTAAAAAGGTAGATATATAACGGTACTTCTTATGTGTAGAAACAGTATTTAATATTTCAAAAACACTTAACTTAGTTCATATGATTTTTCTAGCTTTCAATATACGACTGACTGAAAATTACAATTTTGAAGAAATAACATTAAGAAAGAAAGTCATAAATTATCAGTTTGTTCTTGTACTTTTTCTAATAATAAGAAATTTAACATAACAGCAATGTAACTTAAAAAAATAAGTTAGATCACATGCTGGGGTTTCCTGCCATTTGACTTTGTAACTGTTGGTTGAAATCCTGAATAGCATTGAACACGCGTCTGTTTATTGGTCTGAAATCACATTCCATTGTTTTAGCAGCAATGAATTCTTTCATAACAAAGTTATTTTGTTCATGATGTTGCCACTTCCTCTCTAAATTGCCAAGCTGCATGTATGTTTCATTATCTTCTAATGATGTTTTCATACCTTCGTATTTAGAGGTCAACTGCTGCATGACCTTTTTAAAGTTTTCTTTGCGTCTTTGCAGTGAAATTCTATCCTCTTGGAGTCTCTTTCTCTTCTTCTCTGATATATCCCTCAACTTGTCTAAATCTGAATAAGTTTCTAAATCTTTTTCCATTGTTGAATTCTTTTCTCTTAACATAACTAATTCTGTTGTAATTTTATCTTCCAACTGTTCAACTTTCTGTAAGTCCACTTGCAACTTGTCACTTTCTGCAGCAAGCCCCAAGGTTGTATTTTCTGATTTTTTCATTTCTCCTGCCTTAAAAGCTAAATCTTCTTTCATAGTACTGAGTTCTGCTGGGGATGGTAGAGCCGAAAATCTACCCATATTTCTACTCATATGTTCCAGTATTGCTATAGTATTCTGTTCCAGCTGTGTCACCCTTTGATGTTCCTGGTGTTTAGATTCTTCAAATGAATTAAGGAACTCGTCGATTGTTTCTTCCCTTTTCTTTAATTCTTTGTACTTTTGATTTCTCTCCCCTTGATTTTCCTCTATATCAATATCTAATTGTCTGATTTCCTCTTGAACCTGTTCTATTTTCTCTTTCAGATCATTTGTTTGTCTTTCCAAGCTTGCTATTTCCTGGTTATCCTCTTTGACCTGTTTAAGTAACTTTTCTCTCTCTTCTGCCGGAGACGATTGATTCTTAGTTTCTTGGACTAATGCATCCCTCTTCATTTCAAGGTCATTCAATTGTTCATAAAGACGAACAGCTTCTTGTTTAACTTGGGAGAATGATAGTTCCTCGTTTGAATTTTCAATCTTAGAATTAAGTACATCTAGTTCCTGTTGACCTCTTTCCAACTGTTTCAACATATGTTCATTGACATCTTTAAGCTCAAAATACTTTTTTCTCATTTTTGGATTCATGTCATTAACTATATTATCCGCCATTCTTTTTTCTTGGTCCAATTCCTGCTCTATTTGTCTGATCTGGTCTTCTTTTTGCTTTTTTATTTCAAACAGCTCTTCGATTTTTCTAGCCTCCCTTTCGTTGGAATTTTTCAGATCTTGTAAATCCATTTCTACATCCTGTATGTCTTCATCTGTGGTCAATTTATCTACAAGTGTGTTATAGTCACCAAGTTCTCCCTGTAAATCTCTAATTTCTGATGCTAATACTTCTGCTCTCTTCTCATATGTCAGAAAAGCAGAATTTTCTTCTGAATTATTCTCTATCTCCTTATTCAATTTGGTATTTTCACCATTCAGTTCATTTATTTTACTCCTGATTAATCCAAGAAAGTAAGTTCTATCCTTGACAGTTCGGCCTTGACCTTTGACTCCAGTTTTCATTCCTCCTAATCCTTGTTGGGTCATTGGCCTGTCTTCAACCTTTAACTGAGACTGTAAGGCCCCTCCTCCAGCCACCTGTCCCCCTTTGGTTCCTGGTCTAGCTGTTCCAGGATTCATTGCTGTTGTCAGGCGGGTAGCAGTACCTCCTTGGATAGCTGTTCCCACTGGTCTAGCACCTGAAATGATTAAATAAAGGAATTAAATATGTGTATTTATATATGACATGTAGACCTACAGAAATCAAGTAGTAAGATTGAAACTAGTAGTAAGCTGAACACATGATTCAAACTAATACAATGTATGTTAATATTCATGATTGTGTTTCTACTGTTCACTATGTTTATATACGTAACCAGAAGAATCTACCACCCATTGCTCACCTGACAAATTACTGAAGAGAACACAACTTTGACAAATTCAGTTTTTGATGGCTTTATCTTTTTCAGATTTGAATAGAATCTTCTGCAAAAAGTTTAAAATCTCAAGCTTTGGAAGGTCAAAAAATGCCTAAACAATTTTTTAAGGCAACAAATATTTTTTTAATCAGATTTCAACCTTTTATCTCAAGTACTAAACAATGAAATCTACCTCACATAGATGTTAAGCAACTGTGCAAGGCTTCAAAAATTGCTCCATGGAGGCCTGTAAATGACCTGTATTTTGATGATAAGAGACAAACAAGATTTTCATTATCCATGAAGTTATACTTTTAGGAATAGTAAAGACAACTATAAATGAAAGACAATTAAACACTCTATTAGAGTGATGCAACCATGAAAAATTCAAGAAAAGAAGAAAATATGTCTTTTAAAAAATCTGAATGTCTGAGCTAAGGGACTTCCTATTTTTTACATACATGTACAAGTAAAAAGTATAAGATAACAAACGCTTGTATAAGTAATGCCCCTGACTGTCATAATTCCAATTATACACTCTTCTCATTAAAGTCAATCTAAACTATATATACAAATAAATTGTTGATTTCCACTATACACTTATTATATTTTTTTAGTTCTCATATTTCACTTAACAATATTTCATAAGAAAATAGATTTGTATCATCTATTCAGTTTTTTTTTCATTTAATTGTATCCACAAGTAAATGATTAATGCAATAAGTGTGTTTACAAAACTTTTATTTTAATGAGAGTTTGAACTCTAATCTAAAAATAATAAAAGAACAGAGTTCCAATGTCCCCCGCGCTGCATATATTTAACATTTCCAAGGGGCACAACTCTTTTAAAAAAGTCGATCGTCCACCATTATAGAACTTGTCCGATGTATATCGCTGATATTAACCAATAGTATAAGTTTAATAAAAATCTGGCAAGAATTGTACCTGTGAGAGCGCTCACGAGGCCATTTTCCATAAATTTAATATTTCCAAGGGGCATTACTCTTTTAAAAAAGGGCTATCAGTCACCATTATAGAACTGGTCCGAGATATTGCTGATATTAACCTATAGTATAAGTTTTATAATCAAAGTACTGAAGTACTGAACATCGGATGACCGCAAGTTCTGGTGGATAGTCACAGGCACTTGTCTCAGAAAAAATAAAATATCTCTATACCTGAAAGTTAGGTTAAGGTACATAGATTTATTATTTTTTTCTAAATGACAGAGAATTCAACCTCACCGTAATAATTATTATATTGTAGTGATATAATCATGGGACAATCATTTGTTATCAGTATAATCTGGTTTGTTGTTATATATTATATTAATATTTGTACAGTTATATATAAAGCAGATCATCTTAATAACTCTACCGGCAAATTTTCATCATTTATACCATCATTCTATTCTAATGATAGTGCAGTGCATGTGCATGGTGGACACTCTTCTGTAATAATTAGTTTTTCTAATAGGTTTGATTTGAGAAGGCATTCATATTTCTCCCGCTAATGAATATGTATTGATGAAATTAATATATAACAAGGGATAAGAGATATAAACAGCAAACACAATTTTTCAGTACGTGTGCATAGATATTAATGATTTTTTACTTAAATATATATATTTCTCACGACAAAACATTTTCATATTATTTATTTATGTTCTTAAATAATATTTTCATGAGTATTCATTGAAGAAATGAATTTATAACAAGCGATAAGGAATGTTATTTTGCACTCGATAATATCCGCGTATTTATACGAAATACGTTCGGTTATCAGTCAAAAACGTAAGTCACGTGGGTAGAAATGTCTGTGGCAACATTACACCAGAATGCCCTCTAGGTCATCCCCTGTAAAAATCTGGCAAGTATTGTACCCTTGAGAGCGCTAACGGGGCCATTTTCAATAAATTTAATATTTCCAAGGGGCATAACTCTTTCAAAAAAAGTCGATCAGCCACCATTATAGAACTTGTCTGAGATATTGCTGATATTAACCTATAGTATAAGTTTTATAATAATCTGGCAAGAATTGTACCAGTGAGAGCGCTAACAAGGCCATTTTCCTTAAATTTAATATTTCCAAGGGGCATAACTGTTTAAAAAAAGTCAATCGGCCACCATTATAGAACTTGTCCGAGATATTGCTGATATTAACCTATAGTATAAGTTTTATAAAAATCTGGCAAGAATTGTACCCTTGAGAGTGCTAACGAGGCATTTTCCATAAATTTAATATTTCCAAGGGCCATAACTCTTTTAAAAAAAGTCAATCGGCCACCATTATAGAACTTGTCCGTGATATTGCTGATATTAACATATAGTATAAGTTTTATAAAAATCTGGCAAGAATTGTACCTGTGAGAGCGTTAACAAGACCGGACGGACAGACACACGGACGGATGCCCGATATTTCCATGTCCCCCCCCCCCCCCCCTGCTTGGTACAATAAGCAATCCAGAATTTTTTTTTAGGCATATAAAGACATCCCAAAACTTGAGAATAAAACAAACATCTTACAAATTTACTGATACAAGTATTAATATTAATTGCATCTTCTGATATGTAAATAAACATGAATTGGTGTGTTTTGTATGCTGTTGTTTGTCTTTTAGTCTTTTTATTTTTCTGCCATGGTTTCAGTTTATTTTCATCTTATGACTTTGAATGTCCCTTTGGTATCTTTCACCACTCTTGTACAAGTATTCCTCCTAACTGTATGTATGATTTCAAATAATATTCTCCAATGTGAATGTGAGAGATATTCATTCTTTCTAGTCAATTTGTTTCCTATAGCTAAGAACAGATGACTTTATCATGTTTATTCTAATTAAAAATTTGAATTCAAAATTGTTCCATTATAAGTAATAAAGTGTACATGTATGAACGATTACATGATCTTCTAATTGGTGCTTTTTCTTGGAAAAATTTATGTCAAAAAGCAAATATCTTAACGTCACAATGTCCTACGACGCATTTTTTCCCCAAATGACCCCAGGTCAACCCGGGTAATTCATTCATAAAATCGAAATTGAATGTTGTGTACTGTAACCCAATTGGGTAAGAGTAGCCGACACAGGGATAAGTAATCACATCTACCCTTTCTTATGCTAAATGATATTTCTTGACCCTTGACAGTTTAATTAAAGGCACTGGCTAAGGTTACTATTATTGTTAATTCCGAGATAATTTTTTTATTGTTCGCACCCTTTTTATTGGTTTTGTGTTCAATAATTTTTCAATTGTTTTTTTGGTTAGTGTATTGCTATATATATTATACACAAGTTCCCGTAAAATTTGACATCATAATTTAAAGGTGAATTAAAGGTAAAATTTGGAAATGGATAGAGAATTTTTTAAAAGACAGAGAAGCAAGATGTAATATAAACAAGCATCAGGGACAATGGTGTAAAACTCAAATTGGGCTTCCACAAGGCTCAGTTATATCCCCCTTACTTTTCAACATCTTTATTGTTGATATTTTTGCTTAAATTTCCTCTAACAAATGTAAATTTGCTGATGATGGGACAATCTGGAAAACAGGCAAAGACAAACATGAATTAGTGAAGGAGTTACAAAAAGATATTAACTCTATCCATGAATGGTCAACAAAATGGAGAATAAACCTCAGTATAGAAAAAACAGAATTTTGTGTATTTTCCAGAAATGGTATGACAAAGGAGGACATCAAGATAATGTTACAAGGAAAGGAATTAAAATACAATCCAAACCCCAAAATTTTAGGCCTTACTTTAGATGAAAAATGTGATTTCAATAAACACATAGACACTGTTGAACAAAAAGCACAAAAGTCCTTAGGGATAATCAGAAACATCAAGGGAATAGCAAAGGTATCTACAAAAATTTTAATACAAATATATCAAAGTCATGAAAGTATAGTGCTGTCTACAATGTTATATGCTAGCAGTGTATGGCAAATCAACAACAACACGCATATAAATAAATTAAATGCTATTCAAAGAAAAGGATTAGCCTTATGTCTCAACCAACCAACTACAGCTAGTATAGAAGCCTTAGAAGAAGTAGCAGGAATACTTCCACTGGACCTTAAAAGAGAAGAAGCCGGTATAAGACAAATTGCAAAAATAAAATCATATAAAATCACTATCCCTATTAAACAAATTTTTGAAGATTGGAAAAATATAAATGAACCTGAAAAAATAATCTCACCAATTGGAAGAATGGTATTACAGTCTGAAGACATGAAGAGGTCAACAGAGATTGATTCTGATTGTATAGAGTCTCAATTTGAATTCCGAGGGTTAGCAGCCTCAAAATCACCACCAGAGTATTGGAAAAATCTCGGAAGTTCAAAGTCTAGATCAGAGGAACAAGCATTTCAGGGAAAGACTATTATTTTGGAAAAAATACATCAACTAAAAAAGAATACAACATTAGCTTTCACTGATGGCTCCTGCAAAGGAAACCCAGGTCCATGCGGGGCTGGGGCAGCTATTTTAATATCAAAAAGCACAGAACTTGTGGAGTTAACACAGCCAGTTTCCAATAGAGGATCTATTTTATTAGGGGAATTAGTAGCTATCAAGCTGGTAATAGATTTTCTAATAATTCCAAACAACAGAAAAAACACTGAATCCATCAAAATTTTCTCAGACAGCCAATCAGCAATTGGAATTTTAACTTTAAATTGGAAATCAGATAATTACGGCAAAACTATTCATGATATTAAAATCGGTATATTGGCACTAAAATCTGAAGGAATCATTGTTTCCATTGAATGGACCCCTGGACACGCTGATATACAAGGCAATGAACTAGCAGACCAACTAGCTAAAAAAGCAGCACAGGAGGCAGAAAAAATACAAAGCATTCCAATTTTTACAAAACAAGATATACAAAAAGGAGCAAAAGACAGTGTAATGTTAAAATGGCAAAACCGATGGGACACCAGTGATAAAGGAAGAAGATATTATTCCTTTCAACAAAATGTAAAAAATACAATTCCAAAAGACAAACCGTCAACTGAAATATATCGGATAACCACTAGTTTAAGAACAGGATATTGTAATTTAAACTCTTACAAATCAATGATATGCCCAGCACTCATCGACAAATGCAGCTGTGGACAAATAGAAACAGTTGACCATTATCTACTGTATTGTGAAAATTATGAGGAGGCTAGAGCGCTCTACTTCATAACATCAAAACTAACACTTGAATCAGAAGTATTATTAGCAACAACAGAAAATGAAAATTACAAACATCACATAGAAGATATTCAACATTTGTTAGGGGTCTTTATTAAAGATACTGGAAGGTTCACAAAATAGATAGTTAAGGTTTTATAAGGGTTAATTATTTATTCACTTAATTATTTAATTATTTATTTATTTATTTATTTTTCTCTGCAGTGCCACATCATAAATACAAATGTACTAATGAGTTTTATACAAAAGTGACATAAAATTACCAGAGTGATCGAAAGTACAGAGAGATTATAGTGTCAAGTTGACACTTCTAAAGACTAAAAAATTTGACGTCATAATCAAAAAGTGATTGTTGTTTGACGTCAGAAGGTTATTCAGAGACAGATCTAAGGTCATTCGGAGACAAAATTCAGCTAAATACCAAAAGTGTAAATACTTTTATTGGATCCCTCTCCGGAAGTACATTTTGGCAATTAGTCTTGGAAGTAACAATAATTATTTCTTATTGTTACTTTTTTCGGGTAACCGTAGCCAGTGCCTTAATCAAAAGTAAGTACTGTGATTGTCAACTACATGAGATCCACAACAATATTGATAGAGTCCTTTTGGGAAAACCATCATTCCATCCCCCCATTTTTCAAAGAGTGATGTTCCCGAAATAAAACAAATCATTGAGGGAACAAAAAAGTATGGCGGTTGCATGTGTTCGCTTGATTATTTCATGAACCTGTTCTAGGTCTACTGCCACTGGCACTGGGTAATCTTCCAGCCATTTCTTCTTATAGCTTATAGCTTATAGTTTACTGTTGACAGGAAGCAGGTTGTAAGGAATGTTGTCACTTGATTTGGATTTTTCGGCATATCCGGTGAGGGGAAGATCTAAAACACGGAAGTTATAAAAAAGAACAGGGTAAAATTTACATAATTTAAGTTATTTCTCTGGAACGGCTCAATATAAATTAATAATTAGAACGGATTTAAAAGCTTATAAAATATTCTATAACTTGAATTAAAATTGATATTAATTAAGAAATGCATTTTTACTAAAAAGATGACTGGAAGCCTTATTAAGCGTGAATGTGCCAATCAGATTTTGCCTCCTTGAACTAAAATTCATGAAAAAGTATACAACCCCGTCGAAAACTTTAGTAAAATTTCTATTTGAGAATATTAATAAAAAATGTGATAAAAACTTGATATTTATAAACAAAGAAATTCATTTAGCACTAAAAAAATAAAAGTACATGTATGAGCCACTTTAAACATAATGAAAAATCTCATTGAAATTAAAGATTTGTGTTATAGATAAAAACTCAATAAAGATGAAGCATAAGTATTAAACTGTAAAGAAAGCGTTTGCAGCAAGTGAAAAATAAATATATATTAAGCGAAGCCAGACCACATATTTATGAACTTTGGAAAATATGGTGAGCTGAACATAGATCCCATGTGGCAATCGGATCTCTGAGTCTCCACTTAAATAACATTGCACAGATTTGACAGTGTGAACAAGAAGCAAACATAAGCAGATTTTAACTATCTGCAGGCTGAGCAACGGCAGTTTGAATCATTCCAGAACTGAAGCAAACTCTTAAAATAAGAAAAACTATGTTTAGTCCTGAGATGGTTTTCAAAGAGCAAGCTGTTCCAGAGTGAAGCGGCTGCATATCTGAATGATCTCTTACCGTATGTACTAGTTTTTATCTGTGGTATGTCCAGGATGTTACTATACCAAAAATTATATAATTTGAGTCCTTGAGATTGACCCAATCACTCAAACACACTGGAGCCTTCCCTCTAAGAATAGAAATGCAGAAGTCAAATTTTACACTTTGAACTCAAATATCTCCAAAAGCACGCAAACCAGTCAAAACCCTTTATATGATTTCTACAGTCCATTTATAAACTAGTACACTTATTTAAGTTGATTTAGATTATTTTTAGAGAAAATGGAAAAATCCTGACCGGAAGTTCCCCTTGTGAAAAAATATAACTGCAATTTATCAACATTGAAAACAAATCAGCTCTTGGTATATACTTCTACATTCAACTTTATCATGGTAGGCTTATTATGAGGGTCTGGATGGGGTTTTAAATAGCAAAGAATAGTACTAGTGAGATTTTTACTATACGGATATAAATCCTTGAGAATAGGGAATTATGGGCAAAAAAATAAGAATAAAGAATAATGGGTGCGTGCTAAATTTTAAAGAATAGAGAATAGTGGTTAAGGGGTACAGAATAAAGAATAGAGAATAGTGGTTAAGGGGTACAGAATAAAGGATAGAGAATAGTAGTTAAGGGGTACAGAATAAAGAATAGATTGGTTAAGGGGTACAGAATAGATAATAGTGGTTAAGGGGTAAAGAATAAAGAATAGTGGTTAAGAGATACATAATAAAGAATAGAAAATAGTGGTTAAGGGGTACAGAATAAAGAATAGTGGTTAAGGGGTACAGAATAAAGGATAGAGAATAGTAGTTAAGGGGTACAGAATAAAGAATAGATTGGTTAAGGGGTACAGAATAGAGAATAGTGGTTAAGGGGTAAAGAATAGATAATAGTGGTTAAGGTGTAAAGAATAAAGAATAAAGAATAGTGGTTAAGGGGTACAGAATAAAGAATAGTGGTTAAGGGGTACAGAATAGATAATAGTGGTTAAGGGGTAAAGAATAAAGGATAGAGAATAGTAGTTAATGAGTACAGAATAAAGGATAGAGAATAGTGGTTAAGGGGTACACAATAGAGAATAGTGGTTAAGGGGTACAGAATAAAGAATAGAGAAAAAGTCTTAGTACTAAATTACTAGTGAGATTTTTACTATACGGATATAAATCCTTGAGAATAGGGAATTATGGGCAAAAAAATAAAGAATAAAGAATAATGGGTGCGTGCTAAATTTTAAAGAATAGAGAATAGTGGTTAAGGGGTACAGAATAAAGAATAGAGAATAGTGGTTAAGGGGTAAAGAATAAAGAATAGTGGTTAAGAGGTACATAATAAAGAATAGAAAATAGTGGTTAAGGGGTACAGAATAAAGAATAGTGGTTAAGGGGTACAGAATAAAGGATAGAGAATAGTAGTTAAGGGGTACAGAATAAAGAATAGATTGGTTAAGGGGTACAGAATAGAGAATAGTGGTTAAGGGGTAAAGAATAGATAATAGTGGTTAAGGGGTAAAGAATAAAGAATAAAGAATAGTGGTTAAGGGGTACAGAATAAAGAATAGTGGTTAAGGGGTACAGAATAGATAATAGTGGTTAAGGGGTAAAGAATAAAGGATAGAGAATAGTAGTTAATGAGTACAGAATAAAGGATAGAGAATAGTGGTTAAGGGGTACACAATAGAGAATAGTGGTTAAGGGGTACAGAATAAAGAATAGAGAAAAAGTCTTTAAAAGTCAAAGACTACTGAAATGAAGCCCCCAACCCTTTCCCCATATGAAACTCTTTATTGTGATTCAGTGGTATACAGTGAAAATAAATTAAGTTGTAAAATTCTTAAATTTTTATTTTCTAATAGATCGAAATATTTGAAGGTCATGGCAGAGACATATATACATGTATATATTACTCTGGTCATGGTGACTTCTTAATACATATATACTATAAAATTTAAAATAATGTGAAACTTAGAAGATCATTAATTACCCGGGCCTTGTAAAATATATACTGGTTGAGGACCAGTTATACCGTTAGTTACCAGTTACCGTCACTTGCCGTTTAATTCAAGAACGGAGGCGGCGTTGCGTAAAAACAACCTACTACTGATATCTTCACATATGTTTACTTCATTTGTAAAAAGTACCTTTTGATTGAGATTAAAAAAAATCAAAATTGAAGTCTGTACGTCTCTTCAATATAGTGTAAGTAGTTGATTTCAAGTGACAAAAAATTTCATATTCTGAAGAGGAGGAAGACCTTCCAAAATTTCAAAATTAAAGGTCAGAATGGTGATGTGTTTAGTTCCGTTAACGTACCTTTTTTCTCTTTTTGTTACACGTTAGAAAATACGTAATTAGTGTCCCGATTAGATGTTAATTCTATCCTTAGATGAAATTTTCCGCAAAATTCGGCATAGTAGTAAGCCAATTTTTTTCGTAGTTTATAAGAAAAATCGGAGTCTATGGTGTTAAACCTAACTTTTGGTAACCCTATGAATGTTAAAAGAGTATTTCCCCAAAGAGTTCCTGTACAAAATTATTTGAGAAAAACTATGAATTTCTGACGGTAACTGGTTCTCGACCAGAATATATAATTGATGCTTGTTCTATGAAATTATGTACTTTTCGAATGACGACTATCGCGTGGTTTCTTAGCCGATTAAAGATCTTAGAAAACCGAAGTCACTATATTCCATTATTATATACACATATTTAAAGATTTTACGATGCTGATTGAATGGCGGATATCTATAGTCCAGCAAAATACATTACATGCTTATACAAGATGATTACATATTGATGAGCCAAGCTTTCAATGGTACTTGACTGTTTTAATGTGCTTGCTCACCGAGGTAATAGACTGCATAATGAAAAGTCTACCTACCTTAACGCATAGATTATTCTGACTTCGACTCGAACCAGTCTTTGTATTCTTTCTTCTAAATGTCGCGTGTTTGTCGGAGAAACAGTAGATATGAACATTGAAGTCTATGTCTGATGTGATTGACCAAATAGTGCATATAGTGATTCTTCAAATCAGTTGATCTCCTTAAATCTTTTTTTTAAACAGACACATCAGCTAAAAATAAGCAGCGTTCTGAACAGCAGGACTAACACCAAGTAAAGTGTAACACAGGGTTCAATTCTGGGATCATTCGATTACTAATGTTTTCATTAACGATATATGATTATCATTCGTAAGACATAACTCCCTATTCCCTATATAATTATGCAGACGATAAAACTGTGCCTTTTAATTGTTATCCTGGTTTTGATGCATTAATGCTAACTTTGGAAGCTGAATCAAATGGATTCATTGAATAGTTTAATATAAATAGAATGCATGCAAATCCTGATTAATTTCAGATTTTGGCAGTTGATTAGACAACCTATGTTAAAATCCAATAATACGTATTCAGAATTCCGATTGGACATGTGATACTTTTGCTAAACTTTTAGGAATCGACATTTATTATCAGCTGAGTTATTTGTACGATATGTAGCAGGGCATCACAACAACTAGTAGTATATATTAGAATTAATGATGGCAAATTACTCATAAAGGCGGTTGGCAGATATAGTACTGAACACATTTACAACAGATTTACAACAGATGATTTGTCTGCAGTACGGGAATAGAATTGAAGATGAATTCAATTTCCTCATTAGCTTACTAACTCGACCCCACTAATAATAGGGAATCCCCCCACTCATTAAAAGGAGTTTTATCATTTTAGAATCTAACAGACATATATTCGTTTGAAAATAAAGTGATATAGTTCGATCTTTTATAATATTTTTGTATTTTGTAAATGTCAACTGACATCATTCCTGTAATGATCATGAAAGTTTTAAATTATTTAGTTTTATTTGATTTGATTTATATATTCAGACACTGGCATAATAAAGCGTTTATTTTATTGTTTTGTATATTCCGAATCAAAATCATCTTATCTTATTTCATCTTATCGTATAACCCACGACCATTCACAATCATGGCGAGTTGATAACCTTAACATGAGTCCAGCGAAATGTGACTTGAATTTTAACAATTCGGACCACACTGCCAAACTTGCATGGACGTTTTCAATAAGATTTTATCGAAACCTAAGCCTAAGTCGAATTTAATTTGCAATGTGCGCTTAGGATTCTTATATGCTTCGAAACAAAATAAAATAAAAAATTTATAATTGAA